GGTCAGCTCATTCTCACAGTGTAAGTGCCGCTTGGCTGACCTGGATGAGCGACACTTCCACAGCAGGCCAATCCCCACAGACAACACCTCTAACAGTGCACAAATCCTGTGCACCGGGCCTCTAGTATGTTATAATTAACAGACAGCTATGAAGACAGGCACACCTAAGATAGAACACAATAAATTGGAGAATACTAAAGGGCATTTGCCAAAGGTTTAGCAGTTCTCTCATTGGTTCTCTGTGCTTTCTGACATGCTGGGGGTCAAGAGATGGTCTATTTTTAATTTGAGTTTTCTCAGCTCTCTCCTCTTCCAAATCATGTGGTGTGTGAAAATGGTGTCTCCCAGCTCTTGCTTTCATGTATGAGAACTCAATATATGGATTCAGAAACCTTCTTTTACAACCCAAAACTCACAGGGCCTGGCTCAAGTAATAACTGATTGGAAGGTGTATTTCCTGGCCCTGACCAGGGATACTATTTTTTATTCCTTTTCATAAAATGTTGGTTGTGTGGAGAGTTTGAATCCAAGGATTTACTGAGCAGCTTTTGAGGAATGTCCCTTCATTATTTTTATAGGTAGCATTTCAACCTCTGAGTTAGGTAGTGGAGATGTAAATTCATGTGTCTCCCATGATCTTTCATCCATTTGTGGCCTGGAGGTGTCTGCTCACATCTCTGGTTTCTGTGGGTATTGGGAAACCCATGGCTTATCCAGGACTCCTTCTGTTGCTTCAATTTCTGCCTTTCTTATGAAGAATAGTGGGGTGGGCCTGTGTTTGTGGGTGTGTGGAACAGTATGAAGTAGAGTCTTGTGCTGGAAAGAAACATTTAGTAAGTCTTGGGAGATAATACATCTATCATAGTAGCAGTTGCTTGAAACAGTGTGGAATTTAAATGATTTTTTAAAATGATTTTTCTTAAAAAAAAAAAAAAAAGTTCTGACTGCAGGCATTGAGGTTTTTTGATTACTAACAAATCAAAATTGACATTACCCCTGAGTCAGATATCTGTTTTTCAAAGTCTGCTCATTATTTCTTTTTCTTAATAAAAACAAAACACCTATATCTTATTGAGTTTTCTTTTTTAAAGAGAGAGGAAGGGAGAGGGAGAGAAACATCCATCAAAAGTAAAGCATCAACCGGGGATCGAGCCCACAACCCAGGATGTGTGCCCTGACCAGGAATCAAACTGACAGCCTCTTCGTGCATTGGATGATGCCCAGCCAACCGAGCCACACAGGCCAGGGCTGTCAGCTCATCATTTTTGATGTGGCAAATGGGTTTTCCTAATGTTGGAAGGAAATTAGAATTATTTAATCGCACCTCTTCTTTTACATAGGCACAGAGAGGTTAAGACATTTACTGAAGTTACACAGTGAAAAAGGCATGGTCACATGATGGGAGGCCAATGAAAATAGCTTACAATTCCTGTCAGATATTTGTGTTTCCTTCAATTAAAAAAAAAAAAAAAGAGCTAGACTTATTACAAAAATATGATGTAAGCAATAATATAACCACACTAAGTTTTAAAACCTGAGAGTCAGAGCATGGTAGCTCATGGAAATGCCACATGCAATTCCAGAATGTGGCCTGGTCTCACTAGAACTCTTCTCAGAGATCATCTTGACACAGTGTTTATGTTGGTTTTCATTAGAGGTCACACCTTCCAAACACTTCTATTTTTTCCCAATATTATTATCTGAAAGTGAGCATTACCTATTAATATCGGAATTTACTCTGACACTTTAAATCCTTGTCATTTTTGCATTCTAAAGGGAAGCTAGCAACTAGCACCTATCAGCAAAAGTGTGTTAATCTTCAATGTGTATTTAACTTCTACATACTTCCTTTATTGCCTAGAAAGGCTCTGATGAAATGTGATTACTTAAAAGTATGTTGATTAAACCAGTGGAATATAAGTTTAAGTCATAGGTAAACTTCTCAATATTATTTTTTAATCCAAATGACAAAATTGAATTGGCTGGTCCATAAAAACCTAAGTTCAAGTATTTAATAACTAGATTTATTCCTCTGTAAAAAAAATAGAATTAGTAAATATGTATTCTATGTTTATGGTTCATTTTTTGGTTTACCTATATATTTGTAATATTGTTACACTAAATTTAAGGTAATTTGATTTCACTGAAACTTGAAATAATTTTCTTTCTCTAAGACATAGCTTAGGGCTAGTAGATAATTCATAAGGAATTCATTAGACTATTCTAAGAAGCCACTGAATCTGGAATTCATAGCATAGTAAATTCTAATTAATTTCAGAAGTGTGAGGCATTAGTGTTTTTCCTTTTTTAATTTATCTTCCTAAATCTTCTTTTCTTTCATGAACTAGAAAACAAACAAACAAACAAAACCACAACCTTATCTTATCTTGGGCTAATTATGGACAGACATGTTCTAGAGAACCAGGCCACTCTAGGAATATTGCTTTTACCTTTTCTATGGAAATATCTTATCCCCAAGCATCTAAATTATTATCTTTTCCTCTCTCCTCCTTCTTCCCCAGCTAATCAAGACATAATTACCTAAGGGTTTCAAAATTTTTTTAATGGAATTTATAACTTCTTAAATTTGGCAAGTTCAATAACTGGGAGAAAATAGAGTTTTAAACAATATTTACTATACTATAGTGAAAAGTCTTTATCTCACTTATACGCTAGATCTGCCTGGGCATTTTTCCTGTATTTTGACAGAACAAGAAGTAACTGACATCAGTGAAAGGTATTATTAAAATAATCTGTCCTTCACCAAATACCCTTTAAAATGTGAGTGGACAATTGGATTTTGTGTTTCTAATTGTCTTCAGATGTCCAATTCTATAATTCAGAAGGTAAAACTCGCTTTTATCATGTTAAGTTCTCTAAAAAAGAAAAAGTATATTGGTTATCATTTTCCCTACTGATAAATAAGTATTTAATAGCTGAGGGAAGTTGATTTTTTTTTATAAAGTCATTATGTTAAAAATATATGTTGGAAATTTTACCTTATATGTAGAGAAATAGGATATCCTAAATTCTGGCTAACCAGAGGATAATGAATGAAGTGCAAAATGATTATAGTACACACAAAAAATGGGATTACAATCTCGTGAGATTTTATGCTGTGAAAATGCTGCCTACCTATATCTTTTTTGCTCCCCCTCCCTCCCTCCCTCCCTCCCTCCCTCCCTCCCTCCCTCCCTCCTTCCCTTCCTCCCTTTCTCCCTTCCTCCCTCTCTCCCTTTCTCCCTCCCTTCCTCCTTAAGTGAGACAGTAAACTGCAGCATTTTAGGGTATCAACAGCAATAAGCTTAGAATTTTATCCAAAATTATTGATTCCTTACCTTATACCTGGCATTTTGCTTGGCACCAAGAGATGGAGTGAATAAGACATGATCTCTGCCATCTAGGAGCTCACAGACTTTCAGGAAAAGAGAAACACTTGAACAGATAAATACAGTAACAGACTATCTGAATGAGTACAAAGGAAAAGTGATCTGTTCTCCCTGGGTGTTTGTTATATTGGAGCAGGAGAGGGGGTGGAAGCCTCAAAAAGGTTTCAGCCTGGAGGTGAGGATTGAATTAAGTCTTGAAAGATGAGTAGATGGGACAAGAAGACAATTCTTGGGATTGACATTCCAGACAAGGGAAAAGCCTGAACAAGTTTTGGGACGGTGCAACAACAGTTTGGCACACACTGGGAACTATACGCAGCACCAATCCAGTATAGTACACAAGGGAGGGCATTCAGAGAGAAGATGTTGGAGAAATACAGACCTGAATCCTAGGTCTTGCTGCAGAGTTTGGAACTTTGTCCTGAGGAGCTGTTGCAAATATTTAAGTTGGTGAATGACAATAAAATTTATACTGTTAAATTTTCACTCTGGGAAGGATGGATCTAGGGAGGAGAATTAAGCATGGAAACCAATCTGGAGACCATTATAGTGTCTAGCTGAGAAAAAGTGCTGGTCTAGAGCACTAATTTTCAACCTTTTTCATCTCATGGTGCACACATAAACTATTTAGTAAAATTATGACACCAATAAATATATTTTTTGCTGATCTGAAAAAAAAAAAGGGTATGATTTTGATTAATTCACACTGAATGGCTCTTGTTGTGTTAGCTGTTGTCTTTTTCTTTTTTCTTTAACTGTTATTTGAAAGTCTAAGGGAAAAGAGGTCATTGCCCCTGACTAAATAGTCAGGTATTGCATGCTGGGATGAGGGAGTGGAGAGCAGGGAGAGCTTCCAGAGACAAGAGAAAGAGTAGGATTAAGGAAGATAATAATGATATATATAAGATTTTAAATGTCATGCTTCCATTTTGCATGCATTGAGAGGTGTTTCAAGTAAATAATTAATAGAATATTAATCTTCCAAAGCAAAGAAGACAAATCTATATACCCCACAGACTTGTTTGTAAAATGTAGGTAAAGGTGTTCAGGTCCAAGGTTTCCAGCCCTCTATTGATAACTCCATTTAAAATCAATAGTGTATCCAAAGAATGCATTGCTATTTATAGTTTTTCTCTGTAAAATGTGAGCATTTAGTAAGGTATTATTTAGAGGTTTTATGGGAGAGTGGCTGAATAGTGGGGATAGTCATTTGTTCCAAGTGTTAGCTCTGACACTCGCAAGACTTAGACAAATGACCACTTTTCTGAGCTTCATTTTTAGGACTTGTAAGTATTAGGCTAGTAATACTGCTTCATGAGTTTCAAGTGACAATGAAATAAGATTGAAGCATGTGAAAGCGGCAGGCCAAGAGTAGCTGCTAGAGGCTACCAACGTCCTCCTTTTTTCCCTTTCCTCTCCTTAGAAATTGTTTAAATTGTTGAACTTTCTGCTTCTCTGTGCTCAGCCTTACTTGGTTAGGAACCTAGAGAACAATATGAAAGTCTCCTGTGTACTTATCCTCACATTTAAATTCCTTAAGGAGATTTCCCATGAAGTGCTTGATTTTCTGGAAAAAGGCATTTATTATTTCTCTCCTTGCTTTCTATACAGGATGTCAGCTGCAATGAGATCACAGCCTTGCCCCAGCAGATAGGTCAATTGAAATCTCTACGAGAACTAAATGTCAGAAGGAATTACCTTAAAGTCTTACCACAAGGTAAAAAAGAAAGGGGGGGCGGTTTGAATAAAACTGGAGACTGATTATTTTTTGTTTGCTTTGTGTATGCCTATTAATATTATAATTTGAACATCACATGCAGATAACAGAAAAGTTATATTCACGTTGTAATTTTAGTCAATGGGCACAGCAATAGAACATTCCCTTGTATAAGGGTGTGTGTTTGTGTGTGTGTGTGTGTGTGTGTATTAATTTGATAAGGCTCCCATAAGTACCATAAACTGAGTGGCTTAAACAACAAAAAATTATTTTCTCACAGTTCTGAAGGCTGGAATTGTGATTAAGGGATTAACCAGTTTGATTTCTCTGAGGCCTCTCTCCTTGGGTTGTAGATGGCTATTTTCTCCCTGTGTCTTCACATCATCTTCCCTCTATGTCTCTGTCCTAATATCTTCTCAGAAGGAGAGATAAGGACATATTGGATTAGCATCCTCTCCAAAGGCCCCATTTTAACCTAATTACCCTTTAAAGACCCTGTCTCCAAAAACAGTCGCATTCTGAGGCACTGGGGGGTTAGGACTCCAACATAGGAATTTGGGGAACACTAGTCAGTCCATACAGGAAGCAACATGAATTGTTTTTATTGTGGACTTGTGATGTTCTGGAACATCATGCCAACAGTTGAGTTGACATGTTTGGTCCTGTAGATCTGACTGTGAGGCTTTCTGTTTTTTTGGATCTGGGGGTCCTGGTTGGAAACCCTGTGTCTAAAATCTATTTTTTCAGGAGAGTTCACTGCCCTCTGGAGTGGTATTTGGACTAATGTCACTAATAGTTTGGGTGAACTTCTCCAAGCCTGGAAGCAATGATGGCTCCAGAGCCTCAGTGCTGAGCTCCTCAGACATCCCTGCTGCTGAGGGCTTCCAGGGAGTGTCCTGATACGTATGTTAGAGTTCAAATTATAAAATTAAGAATGTTGGCAATCAGCCTTGTAGGTGGTAGAAGATCAGAATTTCAGATTTTGGGATACTTATTGGTTCTGAATCAGGAGTGAGTTGAGCAATAGAACACAATGCTTCCTCCAAAACATCCTCTGGTTTTCAAAGAACACTGATTTCCAGGTTTGCATTTAAGGACACTAGGCTTTCCTGATTTCAAATATATGCTAGAAAAATATGCCTCAGAGTACAAACATACATATTTGGAAACAGTCAGCATTTGGTTAATCTGACACTAATGCTGCTGTTTGAAAGCTACTTGATTTTTATTATTCTCTTTCTGCTTCTTGATCTTTGACTTGAAATGCTTCATTATTTGAGGCAAGAATATGGCACTCATAAAAGAGAAAGAATTTTATGAAATGTAATGCACTTTATAAATGGAAGGTTTAAGTGTCTGCCATCTTTACCTTTTTCATATGGACTAGCATTTTAAAGAAGTAGAATTAGAAACTATTTTAGTATAAAGATTTATTACCTGAGATGACTTGGTATAAAAGTATAAATTATTAATTTTGTCACTGTAATCCCATTTTTTAATGTTTGAAATTGTTTTCCTTCCTTTGAGCAAGTACAAAGAGAAAACTCTTACTTATAATTTATAGGCAGATCACCTTTCATAGCACAAAAGAAAGCTTTCATTTAAATTTAAGCTCTCATGTGAATCACTGAGAAATCATCACAAATCATTTAATTATTCTTTTCAAAAGGAAAAGTTAATTTAATTTCTTTACAGTTGCCTTGTAATAGTATAGAAACGTGTGGAAAGTGCATCTACAAAATTAAATTTTTATTTCTTTTACCACTACTTACTGTCTTACGTTAAAAGCATTCCTTTCCCTAAAAAGATCAGTTACAAATTTCTATACTTTCCATAAGTATGTTTACTCAGGTTCAATATTTTAAAATCCACTCAAAGCTAAAACATCAGTGTACTGGAAAATCATTAAAAATATTTCTTCCCGAATATCAAGTTTCTTTTTGCTTTACTCTGGAGAACTCTGTTAACAAAAGAGCATTGATAATGCTTTCAGGCAGGGAACTTAAAGACTTTGCATATTTACTTACTTGTTTTTCCTTCTTGAGAATCCCTCCTCATATGCTTTCAATTTGAGGAGGGGGAGTAATGTTTGTGGCCTAATTATCCATGACAACTTTATATAAAGGCTGCAAAGAGGAGACTATATTTTATTCCTAGGGCCAGAACAGAGGATTAAAGTAACCATTCATTGTCTTTTTTTTTTCCCCCCCTTCTTCGAAGATATTTTTCCATTGATTTTAAAGAGAATGGAAGAGAGAGGGAAAGACAGTGTTGCAGAAGACCAAAGAAAAACCAAGCGATGCTTTTTAAAGAAAAGGAGGGACACTTTAATACACCGATGGACTCAGGGAATCGCTTTCCAAATCTGAGTGAAGAAACATGCATGGGGCTCTCCTTTATATCTCCCTGTGGTCTTTGCCCCACAAATATGGATTATGCCTCTGGTCCTTTTTGCGGGCCTTGCAAGAAGGCCCCAGGTGTTGGGGGTCTCCAGGCCATATCTGATGTCTGGCCTGGTGCCAGCATTAATGACCCTCTCTCTGGGGCAGTATACTGTTCACAGTAACAGGTTCTGCAAGACATGTATCTGGAAAGGAGGTAGTGACTTAATTATAGGTTATCAGGAATGTACACTGAGCTTGCTGGCATGGATTCAGATTCCTAGCCCCAAATATCAGGGTTACATTGGAATTAGCCCTTTTTAGCCTTCTCAACAGAAACATCGATGTGAGAGAAACACATCTATTGGTTGCCTCCTGCATGCACCCTCACCAAGGCCCAGGCCAGGGAGGAGCCTGCAACCGAGGTATGTGCACTTGACCAGAATCAAACTCAGGACCCCTTTGTCCACAGGCTGATACTCTATCCACTGAGCCAAGCTGGCTAGGGCCTTTGTCCCTCAAATAAATAAATAAATAAACAAATAAATAAATAAAAATGTTTGTATTAATTTTAGAGAGAGGGGAATGGAGAGAGAGAAACATCAACCAGCTGCCTCCTGCACACCCTGACCAGAAATGGAACCCAGTGACCTCTTGGTTCATGGGTTGATGCTCAACCACTGAGCATCCTGGCAAGGCTCATTGTCCCTCTTTAATAAAAACGGACAGAAAAGTGAGATTAATTTTTCCACCTCCTTACTCTCTTTTTCTGCTGTTTGTTTTTACCTTTCCTGGCTGGAGTTGTCATTTCTCCTCCAGTTTCTTACTATGAAACTGTCAGGTTCTAGTTTTCCAAAACTAAGCTGGTCATTGCTATCCCTGATTTATTTACCTGTAAGTGGCCTTCCTTTCCTTTCTGCTATATCTTCCAGGAATTCATCCCTTTGGTTTTGCTTTAAAAAGTCTTCCTTTTAGCCGAAACCGGTTTGGCTCAGTGGTAGAGCGTCGGTCTGCGGACTGAAGGGTCCCCGGTTCGATTCCGGTCAAGGGCATGTATGTTGGTTGCGGGCACATCCCCGGTGGGGGGTGTGCAGGAGGCAGCTGGTCGACGTTTCTCTCTCATCGACGTTTCTAGCTCTCTATCTCTCTCCCTTCCTCTGTGTAAAAAAAAAAAAAAAAAATCAATAAAATATATATTAAAATAAAAAAAGTCTTCCTTTTAAGTGGCAAAGAATTCCTGAAGATCTCAAGTCCAATTAAAACTTGCCACGGTTGCCCTGCCCGATGTGGCTCTGTTGGTTGAGCATTCTTCTTTGCACCAGGAGGTGCCAGTTTGATTCCCAGTCAGAGAACATGCCCAGGTTGTGGGCTCCATCCCTGGTAGGGGGCCTATGTTTTGTTTTTCTCTCTCCCTCCCCCTTCCTCTCTCTTAAAAAATAAATAAATAAACTATTCTTTAAAAAAAAAAACGGCAACCTAAGATTCACGAGTAAAGCTAATCATCACAGAGGAGGATTAATATTACTAGAGGTTATATCAAGCAGATGCTGTACTCTTTTTATAAATAACTCCCCTAATTCTTACCTGTTTTAATAGACAAAAACCATGAAGTGAAAAAGGAGCTTACTTCCCCCCCCTTTTTTTTTCTTTTGACTTTCTGGATTCCAAACTGTTCCTCTCTCTCTTCTCCGCCTCCTTCTGCTCAAAGCCCTTTTCTCAAGGCAATCACCAGCACTGTGTATGCTGCGGCAAATAATTTATTCTGCTATTGGCCCGAAGAGCAGTGAACTCAAGCCAACTTAAAGAGTACACTTCCTGGGCTTCTCTAACTCAGCTGCCCATCCTGGACCTGAGTTTGGGACCTGCTGAGTTCCATGTTCTTCTGCCTTATTCAGCATTGCAGTCCCATGACTCCTTTCTTTAATACAAGGTAGTCACTAAGGCATAAAAGAAGGAAAGTCTTTACAACCCAGAGGGAGTAGAATTCTGGAGAAGACATACTGGTTGCTAGTGGCTCTTGGTGGAACTTGAAAGTTAGTATCTCTTAGAGAAGTGAAAATCCTGGGGCAATCTAGATGGGGAGGAGGAATAGTGTTAATTCTTACTCCAGGGCACTGCCTTTGGTTCCTCCTCTATTTATAGTTTCTGCCCTTCCTCCTCTTTGGAATCCTTAAGTATTTGAAAGTACCCTGTTTCAACCCTTAGCAGGTCCTATAACAAATGTGGCAAGGCTGTTTTGAAATGAATCCTCTGGAGCCTCTGACGCAGAGATCCTAGTGGGTTGTCCCATGCCACCTACTTGTTTAGCCTGGCTCAGCCTCGTTGCTGTATGGAATATATTTGACTTGTTTCTTGCAGCTGCCAATGCTGGTTGGAATGCTTGAAATTACTATGCTACTGGGTGGGGATTTGAAGCTAAATATAATGTTCTGTCTTGTTTGTGGAGTCACAGAAGACTTTTTAAAAGCAGAATAAAGCCTGGCCATGGTGGCTAAGTGGTTGAGCATTGACCTATTAACCAGGAGGTTGAGTTTCAATTCCCAGTCATGGCACATGCCCTGTTTGCAGGCTCAGTCCCCAGTTGGGGGTGTGCAGAAGGCAGCCGATCAGTAATTCTCTTTCATCATTGATGTTTCTGTCTCTCTTTTCCCTTCCTTTATGAAATCAATAGAAAATCTATCTATCTATCTATAGATAGATAGATAGATATAGATATAGATATAGATATAGATATAGATATATATTATATATCTTAAGGCAGAAGAAAGCCCTATCATCAGGATTATAGGGTTCACTGCAGATTCTGAATTAGATAGCATTTATTTTTTAAAGTGTAGTTAAAAAAATGAATATATTTCTTGTAAGTAGTTCTGAGGTCATGCCAGCCTTGATACATTAAACGGATAAGAATATTTTATAATTAGCATATTACTCATGTTATCAAGTACTGTTAGCAGTGTCCAGAACGGCAGCAGGTGGGTTTAGACCGGACCTGGGTTCAGCAACCTTGGTACTTGAGTTCTCACTAAGAAAGAATTCAAAGTCAAGACTCAAACTACAAGAGAATATTTATTTAGAAAATCACAGAAGTAGAAGAAGTAATTTGTAGAAGAAATGTGATAAGGAAACTGGTTATGGAGGTAAAGGAAGGGCCTTGGAGTTTGGAAGTGAGAAATGTAACAAGCCAGTGGAGAAGGTAAAGGGAGAGGAAGGGGAAAGGTGCAGGCCTGTTCCCAGGAGGGAGAGCAATCCTTAAGTTCTCCATCCTAAGGGTTGTAAGGGTGAAGATTTTTAGGGGAGGTCGCAGGGGATGATCTCAATAGAATATTCAGCAGCTACCAGGTGTGTCCTCTCAGGGTTAGGATTTCCACTGATTGATTGGTCAGCACCGGGACTGGGGGTGATTATCCAATTCAGCTGGTCCTGCGATCCACCATGCTTGTCTAGTTTTGTTACTTACCTGGGCCTGGAGCTGAAATACAACTGAAACCTAGAAGTTATCTCTAAGTAGGAAAGGTCAGGAGTTCTAAACCTCTAGACAAGTCCTATGTGAAGGGAGAAAAGGTAACTCTGGGGACAAGGTCCCACCCTACACTTGTCCATTGCTAGACACCCTGGGCTTTGCACCCTAGTGACCTCTGTACCTGGCCCATCATTCTTGCTCTGCCCATGTCTAACTGCCTACCATAGTACTGCTTGAAAACATTTTGAAGTTAAAACATATTCTGTGTGGTGTGGCTTATGTGATTGTTTTTCTGGGAGGATAAAAAGCATTTTTAAACAACAAATATTGTAAATATCACATTTTCAGCTCTTCTCAGAACTAATAATTCAAATGTTTGGACTTCCAATGAAAGGTGTCCCCTCCCCTTTGGTAAAATATTACATCTATGCATATATTATATATTCCTAATGAACAGCTTGCTTTTGATTGTGCTAAATGACATTTTTACTGATAAGCCGAAAATAAATTTCTGAATGTTTGGCCATTTAATCTTGTTACTTTTCTGAGTTTTGTGTTTTTTTTTTTTTTCTTCCTTTTTTTTTTTTTTTTTTTTTTTTTTTTTTTTTCTGTTCCTTTAGAACTAGTAGATCTTCCCTTGGTAAAGTTTGACTTTTCCTGCAATAAAGTGCTCGTGATTCCCATTTGTTTTAGAGAGATGAAGCAGCTGCAAGTATTACTACTTGAAAATAACCCTTTGCAGTCTCCTCCAGCACAGGTGAGGGGGCTGGCAAAGATATATGGGATATGCTATCAATGTGCTCAGGCAACTCTTGGCAGAGCCAGTTTGTTAATATTCTGCTGATTTAATGTTGCATTAGACATGATCATAAGCAGTTACAGTCTCTAAAAAGATGAAACCTTGGATGCATCTGACTACAATAACTTGTCTTTTCTACATCAAGTCCATTTGCCAGCATTGGGCTCACTAATCCAGAATTATGTTTGATTATTTTATTATTTGTATATATATTTGAAACTTTTTCATGGACTAAAAAAATTAATATAGTCCCTACTTTAATGTTAGCTGGAAATGGATCTTAAGTATTTTGAAATATAATTATTGGTTATTTAGAGACAAGATTCAAGTTCAAATATTAATCTATGAGAAAAAATGAAATATATATGCTTTCAGAATTGAAATTTTTTTCTGGTCAGTTAGCTGACTTCTATATTTTTCATATATTTATACTTAAACACATTTCTGTTATGATTTGGCATTTTAGTTAAAAAATTAGTACATTGCTTGAGTATGACTTTCTCTTCAAAGTGGAATTTGGAGGAAATGACTGCCTAAATTTTTATGTTTTGTGGAGGTCAAATTTGGTGTGCATTGTTGAAATGTTACTTAGAATGAAAATGCAAAAATTATAATATACAGAGTCAGATATCTAGTGTTTTGCCATTAAAAATAGATATGTTTTATTAATTTCTCCCTAGATTTGCACAAAGGGCAAAGTGCACATATTCAAGTATCTGAGCATACAAGCCTGTCAGATTAAAACAACTGACTCCCTTTATCTGCACACGATGGAGAGGCCACAATTACAGCAGCATATGGAAGACAGGTGAGTGTGGCTGCCCTGGCTCAAAGCCCCTTTTAGAATTTTTTTTAGGCCGAGGTATTCCAGGTAACTAAAGTAAACAAAAATTTTTTTGCTTCATTCAACCAAGGCAGATTTGTAACTTAAAGTTTCAGAAACTTTTGAAATAGGAAAGAGAAAATGGATGTTATTGATAACATTTTTATATTTCTCAAGTCTTGTTTATTCTCTCCTAGTTAAAAATCAGTCCTTCTTGAGAGCTGTGTGTATGTGTACTCTCATGTGTGTGTGTGTGTGTGTATGTGCATGTGTATATATGATACATGACATATGATCTATAGTTTAAACATAGGGCCCTGGCTGGTGTGGTTCAGTTGGTTGAGTAATGTCCTGTGAACTAAAAAAGTCATCAGTTCGATTCCCAAGTTGTGGGTTGGATCATGGTACAGGAAGCAACTAATCAATGCTTCTCTCTCATATGGATCTTATCTCTCGCTCTTTTCCTCTCTCTTTAAAAATCAATCAAAACGTGTTAAAATAAATAAACATAGGTATCTTTAGCTTATCAATTAAAACAACAATATCAAGCCTTTTTAAAACTATTATTTTTTAATATGCCTCTGGAACATTATTAAGAAAAACTGCAGGTTTTTTTTTTTTTTAATTGTCTTTTTAAAATGCAGAATATATAGTGTGCCATTTCCTATTTACAATAGAATGAAAGTGTTAGAATACTTTCACATGTCCGTGGCCTTTTGTTGGCATAAATCAGGCTTTGAATTTTCAGAGAATGAAATTCCCACACTGAACACTTATAAAATACAGATTGTTTTTTGAGAAGTCTTCACTGCAGAAATCTTTCATTAACTTTTTATTAAAAAGGAGAACTAGTGACTTAAAATTTCTGACTACCCTAGTGGTGCCTTTATATACTGCTTAAAATATATATATTCATTATTTTTTAAACATGTCATCAAATTTAGTCACCAGATTAAAGTTTACAGAATTATTCAAGATTGCCAACATTTCTACAAGAGAACCAAGATGGCGGCACAGGTAAACACCTATATTTGCTGCCTCTCACAGCCACATCAAAATTACAACTAAAAGGCAGAACAACTACCACCCAGAACTGCAGGAAAGCTGGCTGAGTGGAAGTTCCACAGTTGCAGAGGTGAAGAAAGTGCAGTGAGACTGGGAAGATGTGTGGAGGCGCGGAAAGTGCTGGCACCTGGATGTGCTGCTCTTTTAATCGGGAGGGAGATAAAAGCTCCCGCTTGCTCTGAACTCCAGTTCCGGGCGAGACTCAGGGGGACTCAGGCACATACGGGGAGAAACTGGACTGTCTGGCATCGGGACAGGAACACGAGGGCAGTTTTTTTGCAGAGGTGCTCACAGCAATCATTGTCCCTGCATGGGGGCGTGGGCCGAGGAGACCTGGGACCTCTCTGGTGCAGGGATGACTGGCAGCCATTGTGTTTGCTCCACCCTGGTGACTCCCAGAGACCCTGCCCCACCCCATTTACAACCCCACCCAAGCTGTGTACATCAGCTTTTGCATATGAATGGCTTGTCCTCTCTCCACCTAAACCCTGTCAAACTGCAGCTGGGTGAGAGAGCCCAGAGCTTCCAAAAGAAGGCCCAAAGCCCAGCAACAGCAGCCTGTCTTGCTTCACAGCTGGGTTTTGTCTGGGCACTTCCAAACCCCATACAAAGAGGAGGAATCAGCCACTGTCTATAGCAGGCTGACCTTGCACCTCCTTGGAGATTCAAAAGCCAGTGTACCCTGTGGTCAGTGTGAGACTATATCAGATTACAACTCTTCAGACCCATAAGAAACACACTCAAGGGACAGACTCAGTGAGCACCAAAGTCCCACTGAAGCAAGTACTGCCCCATTAGGGTGTCTCCTGTACAACAAACAGATCTTCCAATGTAGACACAGCTCTTAATCACAGCCAATTCTCCCAGTGATACCAAGAGCAATCAAGGGTTAACTACAAGACTGTGCACACAGCTCACAAAGGGGTGCACCAAGAAGTGTCCACCTCAGGTGACTGGGGAGGCTGAGCCACTGGGCCCTATAGGACACCAACCACTCTAGGCCACTCTGTCAAATCAAGGAGACTTAGCAGCTACCCAGTACATAGAAATAAACACAGGGAAACAGCCAAAATGCGGAGACAAAGAAACAAGTCACAAATGAAAGAAATGGATGAAAGAAAAATACTGGATATAGAGTTCAAAACCACAGTTATAAGTTTACTTAAGAATCTTCTAACACAAAACTGTGGGCTGAGGGCAAATATGGGAGTCAGGGGAGGGGGGGAAATGGTAAGATATGTACACATATAATAACCTTATTTAAAAAATGAAAAAAAAATCTTTTAGAAACCTCCAAGAAACTTATTGAGACCTTCAAGGACATGGAAAAGGACCAATCAGAAATTAAGCATACACTGACTGAAATAAAGAATAATATACAGAGATTCCACAGCAGACTAGAAGATCTTAAGAATTAAGTAAAAGATTTGAAATATGAAGAAGCAAAAAACATGCAACCAGAAAAGCAAAAAGAAAAAAGAATCCAAAAATATGAAGACAGTATAAGGAGCCTCTGGGACAACTTCAAGTGTGCCAACATCAGAATTATGGGAGTGTCAGAAGAAGAGAGAAAACAAGATATTGAAAACCTATTTGAAGAAAAAATGACAGAAAACTTTTCCTACCTGGTAAAAAAAAAACAGACTTACAAGTCCAGGAAGTGCACAGAACCCCAAACAAAAGGAATCCAAAGAGGACCACACCAAGACACATCATAATTAAAATGCCAAGGGCAAAAGACAAAGAATATTAAAAGCAGCAAGAGAAAAACAGTTAGTTGCCTCCAAGGGAGTACACCCATATGACTTTCAGCTGATTTCTCAACAGAAACTATGCAGGCCAGAAGGGAGTGGCAAGAAATATTCAAGGTGATGAATAGCAAGAACCTACAACCAAGATTACTCTACCCAGCAAAGCTATCATTCAGAATTGCAGGTCAGATAAAGAGCTTCACAGACAAGAAAAATCTAAAGGAGGTCATCACCATCAAACTAGTATTATATGAAATGCTCAAGGTTACTCTCTAAAAAGAGGAAGAAAAAGAAAAAGGTAAAGATAAAAAATTATGAACAAGAAAGTGGCAACAAATACATATCTATCAACAAGTGAACCTAAAAATCAAATGAATAAAAAACCTGATGAACGTGAATGTAATAGAATCAGGGGCATGAAAGGGAGCAGACTGATAATTCCTGGGGAGAAGGGGTTGTAGGGGGTGTGGGAAGAGATTGGACAAAGACCCTATACCTATGGACAAGGTCAGTGGGGGGCAGAGGGAAGGCCTGGAGTGGGGTGGGAACTGGGTGGAGGGGAGCTATAGTGGGGTGGGGTGGAGAAGAGGAACATCTGTAATAATCTGAACAATAAAGATTAAAAATAAAATTTTAAGAAAAAGATTACCAACATTTCAAAACATAAGACATAAAAACAATTAGGGTTTTTGTTTGTTTGTGTTTTGTTTTGTTTTGCTTTTTTATATGCTAGAATCAGTAAAATCAGAAAATTGTTAACTGTTTCAAAAAACAGATTATTTGATGAAAGTGTAAGTCCATGAAACCCTGAACACAAAGAACTTATTTTGTGCTCCTTTTAGACAGTGAAGTATCCGGTTTTCATTAGGCCTTTATCTTACCATCCTTTAATACTGAATTGATTTGCTGCCTTGTGGTAATAATAACAATTTGTATAGCAAACTCAATATTTGAATATAAATTGACATATCTGTGAACTTTGTGATTTTAATTTTTTATATGAATTCAATATTGATGGCATCTATCTCAGCAAGAAGGATTCTGATTCAGGCGTTGGAAGTGATAATGGAGATAAGCGATTATCAACCACAGAGGTAAATTTTGTGATCTGTTCGTGATTTTTTTCTTTCTCTGATTTTAGATAAATCTGCTGTACTTATTGAACTTCTTTCTGGTAAAAAGTCATTAACCCTCTGCCTAGGAATATGTGATAATATTTTGAAAGCAATTTGAAATACTCCAAGTGTTACATAAATATTAGCTATGGTTAGCTTTTTCTAAGTCTTTAATGTTTTGTAAATGTCTCAGGAGTAGGATTCCTATCTCTTTCCTCTCTTCCCCACACACATTTTCTGGAATATTTTTGAATGCTTAATAAATATTATGAAATGACTAAGTGATGTACAAGTACTCATGAGGCATTTTTGATAAATGCTTATTTTTAAATGATGGAGCAATTTGGAAAAACATTGTTATATTCATGTATAAATTAGGAATCAAATGTACATTGCATTTTAGTAGTTTGCCCCCCAAAAATGCTTTTATAAATAGCCATACATTTTATAGCATTATTTGTTTCCTGGAACTGTTTTTAGATTATTGGTAAAAAGTTTAATTATTTGTAAGCTAAGGGGGCCTCTAATACTAGTGGTGGTAAAATAGCTCATTTAGCATAATTATTATATCATTCATAATCTATTGGATTTCCCCAAATCTTTCACTAGCATACCTTTAAATGGAGCTTCTTGACCTGGGGAGGGAGAAGAGCTAGGTGGAGTAGTCATGATGTAGCATCAGATCTTCCCTTGGTGAGGGAACTTACTGAATTTCTGTGGTTGTAGAGTTTGAGACATTATAATCTTCTTTGAAGATATAATTAGTAGCCCAATTACCCCATCTAAGGAATCTATGTTTTTATTGTATGTGGTGTGACTCTAGGGAAAATGCCTATTTCCTGTTCTTGCAAGACCTTTGAGTATAATGTATAGCTAAGATATTTGAATTTATTTTTTAAAATGCTTTATAAAGCAGTGTATTAAAAAAAATACTAAGATGCTTAGAATATTTCAAAAGGAAGATAAGTTAGGAGGTAGATAAAAAGGCCTTGTTAATAAAATAAAAATTACTTTCATGGAACCACATGAATAGTTCACTATGGTTCCCCTGGGGAGAAAATATTCAACTCATTGAATATTTTTTTAAAATTTAATTCAACCTCCTTAGCTTTATTAAAACTCCTAAGCCTCCTGAAGTGCCCTATTGTTTTAGAAATTACTCACCCTAAGCTTATTTCTAATAAATTAAAATAGACTTTGCTTTATCCTTACCTTCCTTCTAAGGATAATTAAGTTCATTAATGAAACATTGCACAAAGAACTTCACTATCCTTCCGTTCCCACTTAGTATAAATAGGATGCTAATGTCATTCTAAAAGAGGAAGCCAAGAGTTTATTCTCTCCTTTTTAACTAGATGCATATCTTTGAAATTTTGCTGAGTTTTTAGATGGAAAGGAAGAAGGATTATAGAGAAGATTACATTCAATAGAATAGGAAGCACAATTCTCACATGGTAGCCTCATTACCTGAGGATACCTCAAAAAAAATTTTTTTTTAGAATGATAAAGGTTCTGAATTAATCATTGTAGTCTTCTGTTTTTTCTTTGTTTGGCAGTATGTTACCATCTATGGTCATATACTCCCCATTTATATCTTATTGTGGGGTTCAAGGATCACACCTGGTTCCCTTTATTGCTGTTTGTCAGTAAGAAGTAAAAAACACATTTTTCTCAAGATAAAAAAAGCCAAAAAATTGGGACCTCATTAAAATTCTGTTTATTGAAGGAAATGCACATTTGTTTTCTGTTGGTTTCTAAACAATTTGTGTAATGTCCAAAAGTAAATGAACACTGTTCTCTGAAAGTCATAGCCTCAGGAATTTAGGGACAAGCCAAAATCAGCCACAGTGAGATTCCTGGTCCTTGTGATTTAGAAAACTTCACTAAGTAACAACACTGAAGTGGAAACATAGGAAGATAAATGAGGCGCCATATTTTATTTGCAATAGAATCAGACATTTTCCTGAATAAACTTCATCAACTGGTATGGGAAACAATACCCCCAGAGAAAACTTACTCCAATTACCAAATTGCAGTGTTATTCCAAAAATTGCACAAAGTCATTTAGCACTTTTATATATTTAATGTAGCAGCCTCATCCTAAAACAGGGAAATAAACTGAAGCTTAATTTATAAAGCATGTATAGTGCACTGTAAATAAATGAGATTTTGTCACAGAGGTTGACTGTCTACTTTCTGTGATGAACCACATGAAACCTTAATGGTGTTTTGGTAAATTAGTGTTGTAGAGTTCACAGTAATGTCACTGTTCAAATGGTTGATTCGACATAGGACTTCTGTGGTGATATATTTGCAAGTTTTCCTTTGTTTTCAGGTGTTGCACAAGTCCTCCTTAGGACCCTGACTATGGCTCTTAGGTTAGCAAATACCTCCAGGCACCCGGTCAAATTTCAGCTCAAAACATGTACATGTTAGTCTATGATCTTGACACAGTGAACCATATTACCAGCTCCCAGTTCAGGAAAGGGGACTTTCCCAGGACCCCAGAAAGCCCCACCCATGTGCCCACCCACTCACCCAAAAGCAGCCACGATCCCGATTTCAATACCATGGATTAGTTTTGCCTGTTTTTAAACATATGTAAATGGAATTGTCCTTTGTATGTGGTGTCTTTTACTCAATGTTAAAAATACTCTGTTGTTTTTTAATCATATAGCATTCTTTTAACTACATGTAACACTTCTCCTTGAATGAAGCAGTGCCTTGTTTCTTTCTAGCCTTCTGATGAAGACACTGTTAGCCTCAATGTCCCAATGTCAAATATCATGGAAGAAGAGCAGATCGTCAAGGAGGACTCATGCCATCACCTTAGTCCCATAAAAGGTCTGAGAATGAAAGATGGGGAGAAAGTGCTGTGTTTACAATATGCACAAATATGGCAATAATAATAGTTAATTTTTATTGCACATTTCCTATGCACCAGGAACTGTGCTAATCTGTGAAGATGATCTCATTGAAACTTCAAAACCCTGATTATCTCAATTTTATAGAGGAAACTGAGGCTCAGAGAGTTTAAGTACATGCCAGTGGTCATTCAGCTAGTAAATAGTGAAGCTGTTTCATTCTAAAGATTTATATAGATTCTTTAAATTCATTATTTAAAAGAAAATATTTGTAGATATATTATTTAGAATAACTATTGTAATACATAAAGCCCCCAAATCTCATTGATTTAACACTGTGGTCAGCAAACAAAGTTGTTTAGTTTCTCTTTCTGAGAATTCATCATTGGTGTATAAAAAAGCCATTGATTTTGGGATGCTGATTTTGTATCCTGCTACATTGCCAAATTCACTTATTAAATCTAGTAGTTTTTTAATTGAGTTTTTAGAGTTTTCTATATACAATCGCATGTCATTGGCAAATAATGAGAATTTTACTTCTTTTCCAATTTGAATGCCTTTTATTTCTTCTTCTTGTCTGATTGAGGTGGCTAGCAGTACCAGTACTATGTTGAATAAGAGTGTTGAAAGTAGACATCCCTGTTTTGTTCCAGTTTCTAGAGGAAATGGTTTTAGTTTTTGCCCATTGAATATGTTCTCTGTTGGTTTGTCCTAAATGGTTTTTATCATGTTGAAATAGCTCCCTCTGTACCCACTTTGCTGAGAGTTTTTAATTTAAAAAAAAGGAGGGGGAGGGTGTTGCACTTTTTAGTAAAAAAAAAACACATCAATGTGTTTATGTGATGTGTCACGTTTATTGATTTCCAAATATTGTACCAGCTTTGCATTCCTCAAATAAATCCCAGTTGGTCATGGTGTATGATCTCTTTAAGATATTGCTGGATCCATTTGCTAATATTTTGTTGAGAATATTAGCATCTATATTCATCAGGGATATTGGCTTATAATTCTCTTTCTTTGTAGTGTCTTTATGTGGTTTTGGAATTAGGATAATGTTGACCTCATAAAAAGAACTTGGAAGTGTTCCCTCCTCTTGGATTTTTTTGACTAATTTGAGGAGTGTAGGTATTATTCCTTCTTTGAATGTTTGGTAAAACTCCCCTGTAAAACCATACAGCCCTGGGCTTTTGTTTACTGGGAGTTTTTTGATTACTGCTTCCATTTCATCAGTTGCTATTGGCCTATTCATGTTTGCAGATTCTTCCTGATTCAGTTTTGGGAGATTGTGTTTTTCTATAAATTTTTCATTTCATCCAGTTTGTCCAACTTATTGACATATAGTTGTCCTTAGTATTTTTTTTTTTTTTTTTTTTTTACAATCCTTTGTATTTCTGTGGTGTCAGTGGTTACTTTTCTGTTTTCGTTGATTTTATTTATTTGAGACCTTTGTCTTTGTTTCTTGATGAGTCTGGCGAATGGTTTGTCAATCTTGTTTATCCTTTCAAAGAACCAGCTTTTGGTATCATTGATTTTTTAATATATATTTTACACTTGAGAAGAATGTATATTCTGCATCTTTGGGGTGAAATATTCTATAAATGTCAATTAAATCCATCTGATCCTTTATATCCCTTAGAGTCACTATTTCCTTGTTAATTTTTTGTCTAGAAGTTCTCGCCATTGAAATCAGCATACTATGATTGTATTATTGTCGATCTCTCCCTTAAAGTCCTCTAGAAGTTTTTTATATATATTTAGATGTTCATATATTGGGTGCATCTATGTTTACTAGGGTTATATCCTCTTGTTGAATTGATCCCTTTAGTATTATGTAGTGATTTTTGTTATCTCTCATTTTGAAGTCTATTTTGTCAGATATGAATATTACTACTTCAGCTTTTTTTGTTTTCTATTTGCATGGAAATGTTTTTCCCCACCCCTTCACTCTCATCCTATACAAATCTGTTCTTCTGCGGTGGATCTCTTGTAGACCACATATAGTTGTATCAAGTTTTCATATCCATTCAGGTATACTATTCTTTTGAATGGAGTATTTAATCCGTTTACATTTAAGGTTATTATTGATATGTACTTGTTTATTGTCATTTTAATTCTGTATGCCTAGGTTTTGTTTTGTTTTTTTATCTCTTCTCATTACAGCAGTTTATTTAGCATTTCTTATTATGCTGGCTTGGTGGTGTCTATTTTGAATGATAGCCTTCCAATGTGTTCTTTTTTTTTTTTTTTTTTTTTTTTTTTTTTTTTTTTTTTTTTTTTTTTTTTTTAGATAGATTTTGAGAGGAAGAGAGAGGGATAGAGAACTACAATAGAAACGTCGATGAGAGGGTAACATTGACCAGCTGCCTCTTGCACACCCCCTACTGGGGATGTGCCCGCAACCAAGGTACATGCCCCTGACCGGAATCGAACCCGGGATCTTTCAGTCCGCAGACCGACGCTCTACCACTGAGTCAAACCGGCTTCAGCCAATGTGTTCTTTATTTGTGCTGTCATCCTTTATTTCTGTTTTCATAGTTACTACATCTTTTCTCATGCTGTTGAGCATCTTTACCATCAATATTCTGTACCCTTTTTCAGATAAGTTTCTTATTTCCATTTCATTTATATCTTCTTCTGGAGAATTCCTCTTGCTCTTTAATTTGGGCATTGTTTCTTTGTCTCATCATTTTGGGTGCCTGTTTGGTTTTGTGACCATATATTTTATGACCATAGAAGGTAGATCTATGCCTCTCTCATTCTTTAGTGCAGGACAGTGCAAACACTGTTTTTGTCTAATGAGATCAGGTCCCCAGCTTTGAGTCTGTCCTGTTAGCAGTCTGATTGGATTTAGTCTTAAATAGCCCTCAGGCAATCATCCACAGATATGGCAAGAGTTTTCCTATCAGGGTGGTGCAATTGCTTCTACCTGGAGGCTAATTTTATTCTCAGTCCCTTAATGGGCCTCAGAAACTCCACACTTTAGGAAAAGGATTTGAGTCAGCTGTATACTCCCTAGGCAAAACCGCCTAGATAGCAATTGTCTGCATGAGAAAGATGACCTCCACAGTGTGAGGGAATGACTCAACACAGGAAACCAGGGTGTCAGTCTTCTGAACTCTAACCTAGAGCCCCCATACCTGGCTTCTGCTCACATAGCTCTAGTCCACTCTGCCCTCCCTCTGCTGGATCACAAAGTGAATGGCTGCACAGGGAATTTTGTGTTTTGGTCCTTTAAGAAAGAGGGTGCCTGCATTTCAGCTGTCTTTTCCTGACAGACAGCAACCCTGCTGCTTTTCACATGCAGATGTTCTGTGGACACCTTTCTCAGTTCTGGTGCTCTCTGCTGGGCAGCCCAGCTTAGGGGTTAGACCTGGTAGTTCTCAGTGGGAACCCTCCAGAGCTGAGCTATCTCTCTGGAACTTCAGCTGCTGTCTCCACTCTCCATCCTGGGTTATCAGGGTTCTTTCCAGTGAGTCTTCCTGTAATTTAGTTGTAAATCCAGATTGGTCCTGGGAGCGTGTTTGTGCAGCATCCATTTACCCCTCCACCATTTTTAATTATGCTCATTTCTTTAAAGAAAAAACACTCAAAAAACACTAAGCCATAAGAAGCTTTTAACTTTTAAGTTTAGTTTATGGCTTTTTGTTTCTTTTGCTTTTCTTTCCCTTCTTTCTTCTTTTAACATTTTCTTACATCATTCAGGGAAGAGAAAACTTGGGTCAGTCATATACCTCCTTAAAAGGTAAGAGAGAAAATTGAAATGATTAGATGATACATTTCAGGGTATTCTGTACTTTGTTCAACAATTTGTGAAATCATGCTTTCTGTCTGTCTGTTTTTTTCTAACAGGGGACTTTCATCAGGAATTTCAATCAAAGCCTTTCCTTGGTCACAATGACAACTCTGGAGAAGAAAGAGACCAATTTACCCATGGAACAGATGTTCTCCAATCGGAATTTATAAATTATATTAAGGCAAGTTGAGATCAACTAATTTATTTATTTATTTATTTATTTACTTCTGTTTGATTCAAGGTTACCAATGCATCACCTTAAATGTCATCTTACTGCCACCTTCTTTTATAACAACTTCTCAAAGCTCAGTATATTTTTATTTTTTTGTAAAATTGATTGATTCTAGAGGGAGGAGATGAGGGAGGAGAGGAGAGAGACACCAATTTATTGTTCTGCTTGTTTATACATTTATTAGTTTTTTCCTGTATTTCTGTAGTGTCCTGACTGAGAATCGAACCCTCAACCTTGTCACATTGGGATGCTCGAACCAAATTAGCTACCCACCAGGGACTCAGTATTTATTTTCTGACATTAGGAGCCAGTCCCTCCCATACATATCTTTTCATTTGTTGGCATATGTATATGGTTTTCTTTTGTATTCAGAAATTACTCATCTTGCCATTGCTCAGTACATTGTGCTCATTAGCAAATGTCAGAGTTACCCATTACCATTCAGTAAAAGGCAAACTAGACAAATTTCACATTCTCTTCAATGTACTCTAGGTGAATGCTTTTCTTGGGAGTATGTCCACAATATAAAGAGAAAAATGGAGACTTCCAGGACCTGGGAATGAATGTCTTTCATCTTTGGGAGTTCATTCTGAGGACAGTTGTTCCAGAACCGATGTAGTTACAGTGAGGTGCTGAAAAGTTGGGTGAAGCTGCCAAGCTTCATTGGAGTGGCAGCAAAAAGAACAGAGGAAAACTAGCCTTTTACTGAAGCTGGTAGTTAAGGTTTCATGTGGAAACATGATAAAGTGCCTTGGTATGTTTCTACCAGTCTTTTTGGTTCAGGTTGTGGCACCAAAGAATGCCAGGATGGTTCATTTGGTAAAATTCAGATTTGATGTGGCTTCTGAGAGATGGTGGTCTTTGAGTTAATGTGTTAAAGCCAAGCATGGGGTCTCTCAGAGCACATCCTTATTCCCTGAGAATTGTGTTAGAACGGCTTGAGTCTATCTAAACTAACTTCTCTGGCCATCACCTCCAAGGGAACTGTGAGGGAAATTGTGAATTTACACTATATAATAAGTATCCTGGTGTACTCAAGAGGTCTTTACATTCTCAAGACAAAAATAAAGAACCTGACATAGTACTTACATTTGTAGAAACTAAGATGATTTTAAGAAATTATATACAGGCATACCTCAGAGATATTATGGGTTTGGTTCCAAACCACTGCAATAAAGCAAATAATTCAACAAAATGAGTCACATGAATTTTGTGGTTTTCTAGTGCATATTAAAAGTATGTTTACACTATACTGTAGTCTATTAAGTTTGCAAAAGCATTGTTTTGAAAAAATGCATATACTACCTTAATTTAAAAATACAGTAGTGTTAAAAAATTGTAACCATCATCTGAGCCTTCAGTAAGTCATAATATTTTTTTCTTAGTGGAGGGTCTTACTTTTGATTTATAAAAAAAAAATAAAAATAAAAAATCCAATATTTGAGAAACAATACAGTGACGTGCAAAGAAACGATGTATGCTGGTGGAAAGATGAAACACAGAAATACTAACTCTTTATATCTAATTCATCAATTCTTGTTTCAAAATATCTCATAGTCACTGCCTCATTTGTGCCCTCTACCTCTATTGACATTGCTTTAGTTAAGTTTTATCATTTCTAATTCCGATGACTGCAAGAGTCTCTATTGACATTGCTTTAGTTAAGTTTTATCATTTCTAATTCCGATGACTGCAAGAGTCCCACCTACTCCAACTTCTCACTCAACGTCCTGCCCCCTGCATGCACATGCGTGTGCGCACACACTTGAACACTTTATATTCTGCCGCCAGCCATTCTCCTACAGTGAAAATCTAATGATATTGCTCTGAGGCCAGTAGTTTTCATAAGATTCTCCCAGATTTGACCCCTATCTATCAGCTCTGGAATAAGCCTGTCATAAAACATGGAAAATTGGGCTTTCGTCTTTATTTTATGAAGAATTTATCTTAGGTTGAGAATCTAAAGTAAAAATGGAAACTCTGAAGGAAAACAATCAAAGCAGTTAGTAAAATAAAGCATTTTGTTTCAGAAAAGCAAATATCCCAGATTCAGAGATTTTAGGAAGCAAAGGGCTCTGTGGAAAAGGCAGCTCTACAGAACAGACCCTCGGGGTAGAGTCTAGAGGAGTAAACAGGGATGTAAAAACATGTTCTGCAAATGTTTCCTAGATGTCCACTCCTACAAGAGGCCTTTCTTGGAAACTTGAGCAAAGAACTACTACTAATAAAATAAAAACAAATCTACAATGAAAAGTCATACACTGAAAACCAGCCCTCTTTCAGCCTTGAGTTGCATCCCTTTAAAAACCTGTGAGAGTGTACATGACAGCCAACCATGTGCCGACCACTCAGTCCTTGAGGAGCCAGAATTGTGTTTTATATAACCTTGTTTTTTCCCCTTCACTGAATTAGCATATTTTGTTTTTGTAACTACAGTTGATCCTCATCATTCTCAGTAGTTCTGTTGTATAAAGTCACCTCAAACACTGAATTATCTAAAACTGAGTCATTGTTCCAAAGTGTAAGTACAGGGTTAGGTTCCCTGTCAAATAGTCAATACATAACTTCACTTATTGTGTTTAATGGATTTTATTGTATTTATGTGTGTTTTTATTTAAAAACACTTACTTAATATGTTTTGTTGATTAATTAACATTGAACTTTCAGTCCACACCACCAACTCATGGCTAAGTGAAATTTGTCTAATATGTTTTCTCTGTTAAGGGGCACCACAGCCTTCTTGTGATTAGGAACACTGGACCACACTTTAGTACCTTGCTTGGGGGCATTGTATACAGCAAAAGCAACCCAAAAAAGCACAAAAATGTTAATATGTTTCACTGACTACACTCTAAAGGATACTTGTTTACACTATTACAGCAGAAACAAGAAGGCAGAGGGTTTCCTTGCTCATTGTTAGCTGGAACTGTGCATGTTGGGAACTCTGGATTTTTCACAGTTCTCTGCATGCCTGCGAATGACTGGAGAGCACTATGAGTATTGATTTCAGGGTTACAAGTATATTTTGTTGAGTAGGCAAATTTATAAATATGGAATTTGCAAATGAGGATCATCTATGTAACTGTCTAACTTAGCAAAAGATACCCAGTAAGCCCTATTTTGCATACTATAAGAAAAACCAATATTTCACACTGTTGGCTACTTTTTATTATGAAACTTAAAATTAGAAGGAAATGCCCATGGCTTCTGTAGTTGAAGCCCAACAAGAAAAGATACAAACATGTTTTCTCAGTCATGTATGGTAGTGCATTTTCTCCCATGAACTTCATTATCATTTGGATAGTGTGGCACAATAATTTATATGTTGACTTTATTATGCACTAAAAGTACAGTCAATATAGAAAATGTCTGAGTATTTTCAAGCCAGACTGGCATCAGGTAGCAAGCCACCTCTTTGAAAGAAGACTCATTCTCAGTGACACATCTGGAGAATTGGCTGGGCCTGAGTTAACAACGTGTCAGAACCTTGAAGCAGAAAACAGTTCTTTTGATTGTACCTTCCTTGTCAGAGAAACATACACTCATTCAGGGTGGCTTCTGTTCTAGCTACTGGCTGAGCAAAAGTAGCATTATTCTGTGTCAGAGCAGAAAGTAGAAAGAAGCATCTGGAAGTTCCAACAGTGGGACACACTTTTCCAATACTCCCACCAATGTTTCTTTGAGAAAATAATTAGGGATATGGGGGCAGGAATTTCAGTGAAATCTGGATGTTGCATATATGAAGCTTATTAGATGTCATCTGAGGCATTTTCTGTTGTTAACTATTTTATACATTATTTTCCCCAAACACACACACACACACACACACACACACACACACACACCCTTTTCTCCTCTTACAAATGCCAGAACGCATTCTCATGTGACTGACAGGCCCAACAGAAGAATCTTTGGACATCAGGAGGTGCTAAGACAGCAGTAAGGAATTATGTTTTAAATTTTTGACAGTAAGTTAATAAGTATTGTGGTCCTACACTAGGTTTTCTTTCTTTCTTTTTTTTAAATTATAGTAATATAAATATAACATAAACTTATCATCTAGATATTTTTAAGTGTAAAATTCAGTGATGTAAAATTAAGCACATTCATGTTATTGTGTAGCTATCCCCACCATCCATCTCCAGAACTTCTTTTATCTTGTAAAACTGAAACACTTTACCCATTAAATACTCAAGCCACTGGCAATTGCCATTCTATTTTCTATCTTTATAAATTTGACTATTCTAGGTACGTCATAGAAGAGGAATCATATAGTATGTTTTTTTGTGACTGACTTATTTCACTTAGTACAATGTCCTAAAGATTCTTCTACTTTGTAGCAGGTCTCAGATTTCTTTCCTTTTTAAGGTTGAATGATATTCGTGTATGTATTGACCACATTTTGTTCATTCATTCATTCATTCATTCATTGAGGGACACTTAGGTTGTTTTCACCTTTTGCCTATTATGAATAGTACTTCCATGAACATGGGCTGGGACAGGGTTTAACTGTTGACTGTTGAAGGCCATTGGCTATTAGAAAACCCATGTGTTCTTCCCCAGGATAGGACAGAAGTCTATGAAGAGCCATTACGGATAGAAGAGGATATACACTGGCAACCCGAGGGAATGTGAGTACCAAGGCCTAGTTATGAGCCTCTATGCTGTAAAGAACGGAAGCCCTATCATGATAAGAATTCTGGTCTGCTTTTCTTTGGGTAGCTGATATTGATAAGTAGCAGCCAGTTTTTCTCTGATGCTTATAGTCACAGTGCTAGGGTAATACAATACAAAGTCATACCTTTTCCTTGGCCCCAAATTTTATCAGATTTGAGACTGGAGGTAGAAATGTGTGATTCAGGGAATTTTATAGAACTTCCAAAGTGAAGAATCTAGCTTTCTTCCTTTTGTATGAAGAAGCTGACAAATGGACCTAAAATAGCCCTGGTCCCCTTTCTTTACCTAGGCTCTTCAGTTTCAAGATGTGAGAAACCCCAATGCCCTGATCCTAAGTTTAATAATTGTGATAGCTAGCATTTATTAAATACCACATGTCAGGCACTATCCTAAATACCTCACATCACCTTTACAAGTACCCAATTTCACCTTTACAACAATCCTATTAAGTTCTATTTGTTGTTTCCCACTTTACAGATGACAAAATTGAGGCACAGAGAGATTTATTACATATTTTACCCCAGGTCACAGAGAGCCAGGTCAAAATCAATTTTTTATATGTTAGATGGATTTTTGTAATTTTGCTCTGAAGAACTTAGATGATATTCATATTCTGTAATGGTTTTCATTCTCATGCCCGGTTTCATGCTGCTGAATAAGTTCATATAAAGACCAGGAAATGACTATAGCAATGATTGAACAGCTGAGAGAAGCAGTAAATTTGCTGCAAGATCCCAACAGGTATGCATGTCTTTCTTTGGCCCAGGCCTCATGTGTGAATAATACATACTAATTTATGGAACACATTATCTCACTTTATAAAGATAGTTATATACACAGTATTGGCTCTGTCTAAACACTAATAAAGAAGTCATGCCAAGTGCCTATTTTCCCAAGACCATAAATAAGAGTCAAACTTCTCTAGGTATTGAAACCAGTTCCCCCTTTCTCCATTCTTCAGTGAAATTTATTCACTCTTCCTGAAGTTCATATGGAAATTTTTGGTATAATTCTTAGAAAACAGAAATATGGTCCTAGCTGGTTTTGCTCAGTGGGTAGAGCATCGGCCTGCAAACCAAAGAGTCCCGGGTTCGATCCAGGTCTAGGGCACATACTTCAGTTGCAGGCTCCTCCCAGCCCTGGCTCTGGTCAGGGCTTCTGGAGGAGGCAACCAATCGATATGTTTCTCTCACATCGATATTTCTCTGTCTTTCCCTCTTTCTTCACTCTCTAAAAATTAATGGAAAAATATGCTCAGGTGAGGATTAAAAAACAAAACAGAAATATGGTAATTCCTGTTTATAGAACTACAAGGGAGATTTTCCAAAAAGGGAAGAATCATTATGCCAAGTAGTATTACAATAGTTATTTGATCATGGCAATTATATGTTAATTAAATAATATATTTCTAAAGATTTGGGTTACAAGGTGATTTTTAAATTAGATTAGTCATTGTCAATAACTACTATATGCATTAGATTCATTTTTTGGTTGCTTAGTTAAAGATAATGAAATTCCTATTGACAAAGTATTTTTCAGTAAGACAATACTGAATACCTTATCATTAGAGAAATAGATCTAAAATCTGTCCCTGATAAACTCTTTAGGGGTCCTGGGAATTTAAATATGAAAATTATGTGGTCTTGTAAATGTGGTGAATGTGAAAATCACACCATGCTGATTTCAACTCAGTTCTGTGAGTTTAGGAAAAGGTGGTTAGTGAGTGTATACCACCAGTGTTGTCAGGCCCTGAAAAAATGATGGGTCAGACTGAATATGACTGAAAATCTTTAGCTGTTGATTGAAAAGCATTTTGATTCTACAGACATTAATTGAGTGCTTAGAGCACATGTGTCAAACACAAGGCCCGTGGGCCAAATCCGTCCCGCCAGGCCTTGCAATGTGGCCCACACCGCGCTGTCATCACTGCACTCCGCTGCGTTTCCATCACAATGACAGTTTATGACTGTTCAGTAAACCATTCGGCCCGCGATTTAGGCTGGATTTTAGATTTTGGCCCCTTCTCTGATTGAGTTCGACACCCCTAGCTTAGAGCATAGGAAGATCTACATTGTGCACCTTGGGAGATATAAAGATGAATTTAAACTATAGTAGAGGGAGATTGTCTTGAGCAGTTATTGTAAGTGTAATTGATTAACTTGCTTAAAAATTTATAGAGTGTCACCTGACCCCAGATGAAAAAAAGGAGTCTGCTAGACCAGCCTTTCCTAAAGGTTTGGATATTAACCTTTAGTAACTAGTAATTTCAAGGAGAAGGCAAATTCTGGATTGAATTAAAAGCTTGGGCAAAGTTACAGAGGTCAAAAAGAAAGGAGCAAGTTTCAAAAATCTCAGGCAGATTAGATGATCTCCACCCAGGCCATGCTTCAGTATCACTTGTGGAACTTTCAAAACAGACATCCTTGACATTACTTGTGAGTTTGGGTGTTAGCCATTTCCACTTTATAAAAGTAATGCTGGTGCCTCTGATGTGCAGTCTTCACTGAGAATCACCAAGGGGACATTTGGAGTGGGGAAGGGCATGACTTTGAATGCTGTTAGGGAGCTGAGACTTTATTTTATTACTAGAGACCCAGTGGACAAAATTTGTACATGGGTAGGGTTCCTAGGCCTGGCCAGTGAGTAAGAGTGATCTGTGGGTCAACTGGCTGGGTGATAGAGGGTGGGCCTCAGGTGGCACCTGCCTTGACTAGCCTGGGGCCTGTAGGCTGGGGGCAGCTCTTGCGTTGAGTATCTGCCCCCTGGTGGTGAGTGTACGTCATAGCAACCAGTTGTTCCGGCTGGTCCTTCCACTATTCAGTCAACATATTAGGCTTTTATTAGTTAGGATATGCAGGGAAGATAATGATGGATAAAAAATATGATTATTCATGTTGTTAATTCTTTCTAATCATTATTTCAGGCCTAGCTTTTTACTAAGTGCCTGATCAAGACATGCTCTTTAGAGAGCTGAGTTTCATACCCTAAACCAAGGTAATTAGAAGGTAGGAAATGGATAAAAGAACGTGTGTGTGTGTGTGTATGTGTGTGTGTGTGTGTGTGTGTGTATGTGTTACAAGTACTTACTTTTTAAGGTTGTGAGGACTTGAAGTAGTATATAAACTACTAGTGGGGGAAATAAATTGCAAAACCATCCCAGAAGGCATCCTAGTAATATGTAATTGTGGTTTAAAAATATAGAAAACATTTATTGAAAAGAATTCTAAAATTTTATTTTAAAGGGCTAAAGTATATGAACAAAGATTGAGAGGGGGGAGGTATTTTAATAGCAAATATTTGAAAAAAAAGGAAATATATTTTGGTTATTAATAAGATGGGATATAATGTAACCAATAAAATATTTATTAAAATTTCCAGTATTAGAATGCTCATTATGTAATGTTAATGTTTAAAAAAAAGTATAAAATTCTTAAAGTTTGATCCCAATAATATAAGTAGGATTAGGTTTCAAATGTGTAAGAAGCTAAGAAAAAATTGAAACTGGAAGGAAATATATTATGATGGATATTTTTTGTGTTTCTAAGTATTTTTAATACTGTATATATTATAGTTAGTCAGTGGTAAGTATTGTAGTTCTTTGATGATTACATAAAGTGGGTGGTGAGAAGGCTGGGAGGGAATGGCCCAAGGTGTTTTAGACCAGAGTCCCTGGCATCTCTATCTGAGATGGGGAATTAGGAGGGACAGCAGATTTGAAGAGGATGTTGGGGTCAGATTAAGATGTGCTGAATAATACCCGAGGTAGCTATGTGGCGATGTACATTCAGCTGCTAGATGTTTAGATTTGGGACTTCGAGAGTTAGATTGAAAGTCATTTTCACAAGGTGCTGAAGTAACAGAAACCATTTAAGAGGATGAGGTTCTCAAGGGCAAGCAAATGGATGGAAAGGGAATGTGAGCACAGGACAGAGCCTTGAAGACAGGACGTGACAGAGAAGGCCACAACTGGGTTCACACTTTATATTGCTTTAATACTTCTACATTTTACATCTTTTATCAATCTCCCGATGAAATTTATTACAAGTTCTAGATTGATTAATATATGAGCCCAAAGCAAAAAGAGCAGTCTATTTAGGTGGAAATAGCAGTGGCATGGGAATATGAGATTGGAACCCAAAGGTAAGATCCAAGTGACCTAGAGAGAGGGCGTGGCTTCCTGTCTGGAACTCAATTTTGCCATCCTTCATGAGAAGTGGGATGAACTGAGAATTGTGAGATTCTTCCTATCCAGGTTGGAAATGTCTAAGGCAATCAGTTGCCAAGGATGTTGAGCAAGGAGAATGGTGTTTGCCTAATTGTAGGAGCAATCTTCCAAGTGATAGTTGATTTGCATCTTTATCGGTGATATTTTGAAATAATATGTTGTAAAGTGTTACATGGATTGCATTTCCTCAAATAATGCACTACTTTGGCTGCTTTAGATCTTTGTTGTTCATCCTGAAATAATTAAAAAGATAATTCTAACTTTATAATAATACTTCTGTTATCTAGTCCAATGTTTGTTTCTGATAAAAAGAGGACACTTCAAAAGGTCATTTATTTCCAGCTGTTTGGTAGCTCATATTTCATAGATTGAGAATTTTGTAAGTTACTATCATATTTTGCCTTTATCTTGGTTTCTTCTCTTAAGGACTTCTGATTGTTGATTTTATAGCATTTTTAATAGGTGTCTGTACTATGAACTCATTCCTACCTTTTAAGATAGCTTTGTAACTTTTATATAACTTATAGAAATTTCTGGTTTTAAAATTGCAGAAATTCAGAAACTAAGATCTTTTCAAAAATAAAAATGCATATAAAATTGCTTATGAATTCTTTTATTTTTAATGAGGGTACTAGTGTAGATCAGAGAGATCTTTTTAAAATTAAGGGCCCTTAGTACATATACCATAATAGAGTATCCTTAGCAACTTTACTTGCTTCCATAACTTAATCAAATTCTAGAGTAAAATTTATTGTGTACTACCTATGAATATTATGACTATCAGAAATTACTGTTATATTGCAAATAAGTTGAATTTTGACAAAGAGCAGTCAGAAAATTATATTAAATTTGGCACATGATAGGAACATACCATGTAGTTTGAAATTTTTATCATAAACCTTTCATTACTTAGTCCTAATGGTAAACATAATTTTTAATATATTAAAATTTTAAACTAAATATGACCAAAAGCAGTAGGTTTATTAAAATTTCAATAAATTGCTAACATCTTTTTCCTCCTACTCTTTAGATTAAGCATTGATATTACAGAGAAAAATGTGGTAAACTTTTATCCTAAGGAATCAGCAGAAGGCTTAGAATTACAAGATTCTGCACTGAAGTATGTTGAACTTTTTAAACTCAATGTTTTCTCTTTTTACATTGAAGTATGTGTCTTTAAACTCCACTTTATATTTTTCCCCTCCTCATACCTACAGTGGTCAAATGCAGCGGGAGCCATCTCCGGTGTGTGAGGTAAGGCTGCTGTTGGATTCAGCAGAGCTGCATGCCATGTTCTGCCACAGAATGGTGGCTGCCACCTTCTATGAAGATAGATCCGGGGGTAGAACATTCCTTAGGCAGACTAGTTCAAGATCTGGTTTTCAAAAAGTTTTTAATCCTCTTTAGTTTTCCTGTTTATCTCTCATACTTCTCCTTCCATTAGATATAAGATTTCCATGAAATTCTCTAAATTTGTGTGTGTGTCAGTCTTACTCAGTCAAGGGATATAAACTAAGATTCATAGTTGCTCTGAGTCAGAAACTGGAGGTAGGATCATTCAATGTAGATTTTAGAGCCACAAATGAAACCTATGAGCTAGCCAGACACAAGCTAACTAGAAAGGACTTAAAAAGCAAGAAAATTATTTGGGAACTGCCTAGGTCCTAGGCAAACTCATTAGTCAACAGAGCCAAATATCAACAGTACAATGATTGAAATTTCTTTGGAGAGCCAAATTTTTTTTAAACTTAAACTTCTTCTAACGCCACTTCTTCAAAATAGACTTGCCCAGGCTGTGGTATTTTGTGGAAGAGCCACACTCGAGGGGCCAAAGAGCCGCATGTGGCTCATGAGCCGCAGTTTGCCTACCACAGGCCTAGGAGGATTAAAAGAATATAGCAAAGAGAGAGTGGTAGGGATGTTGGCAGACAGAGTAAGAGTAAAGTTACATTGGGTGAAATTGGGTTGCTGAAGAAAATTTGAGATGAGCCTAGAAGGTCTCAAAGAAACAGAGAGGTAGAAACAATTGAGAGGTGACTTAAGAATGAAACAGGTTACAACCTATTTCATCCCTTTTCAATGAATGGGTTTAGGATGGCTAATTGTGGTACAAACTGATTTATGTCCCCTGAGGTGTCTGAACAGGTACTGTAGAAAATCACTTTCACTTTTAACTAGCTAAGGATCTATGTTAAATAAGGGGGAAGAGAACTGCAATTGAAACAGCTATGTTCCCAAGCTAGAGCTTATGGTTTCACTGTTAAGCACGTGACTTAGAATTATGTTGTTTAAGTTACATATCAAAGACTTGCTGATTAGGGGCGACTGTGTGTAACTTCTCTAAACTTCACCTTCATTTTCTATAAATTGGGATTGTTTCACAGCCCAGGACACCTAAATGGTAGCTGGTACTGTTACTCCACTACTGTATATTGTTCCTGCTGTGGTCCTTAGACAGAATCACTGCATCACCTCCTCCCTGAGAGGAGGCTCATAGAATTACCCAAGAGTGCAGCATCAGGAAGTTTTTTATTTGAAGCTGCCCTGGGCCCATTTCATCAAGCTCCTTTCGAGACATGCCTCCCAGTGTGTGTGTGTGTGTTTAAAGCCTCACCCAAAGATGTTTTTATTGATTTTAGAGAGAAAGAAGGGAAGAGAAAGGGAGAAAAACATCCATATAGAGCAGTGGTTCTCAATCTTCCTAATGCCTGTGGTTCGAGAACCGCTGCTCTAGAGCCTAGGGCCATTGGAAAACACAGATATTTACATTACCATTCATTAACTGTAGCAAAATTACAGTTATAAAGTAGCAACGAAAATAATTTTAAGGTTGGGAGTCACCACAAAATGAGGAACTGTATTAAAGGGTCGCGGCATTAAGAAGATTGAGAACCACTGATTTAGAGAGAAACATGGATTGGTTGTCTCCCATATGCTTTGACTGAGATCCAAACTGCAACCTTGTTGGTGAACAATGATCCAACTAACTAAGCTACCTGGCTAGGGCCACACCCCTTCCTTCCTTCCTTCCTTCCTTCCTTCCTTCCTTCCTTCCTTCCTTCCTTCCTTCCTTCCTTTCTAGATAAATCTTTATTCTTCAGATTATTACAAATGTTCCTTTCTCCCCGCCCCCCCTCCATTGCTCCCCTCCACCCTCTGCCCTTTCCCCACCCCCATTGTCCTCATCCATAGGTGCACAGTTTTTGTTCAGTCCCTTCCTGCACACCCCACTCCCCTTTTCCCTGAGAATCGTCAGTCCACTCCCCTTCCATACCTTTGATTCTATTATATTCACCAGTTAATATTGTTCATCAGGTTTTTTAATTCCCTTGGTTTTTAGATTCACTTGTTGAAAGTTATGTATTTGTTGTTCATAATTTTTATCTTTATTTTCTTCCTCTTCCTAAACCCCCTTCAGCAATTCATATAATTCTGGTTTGGCGGTGATTAACTCCTTTAGCTTTTTTTTATTTGTGAAGCTCTTTATCTGGCCTTTGATTCTGAGTGATAGCTTTGCTGGTAGAGTAATTTTGGCTGTAGCTTCTTGCTATTCATCACCTTGAATATTTTTTGCCATTCCCGTCTGGCCTGAATGGTTTCTATTGAGAAATCAGCTGACAATCGTATGGGTGCTCCTTTATAGGTAACTACCTGCTTTTCTCTTGCTGCTTTTAATATTCTCTCTTTGTCTTTTGCTCTTGGAATTTTAATTATGATGTGCCTGGTTGTGGTCTTCTTTGGATTCCTTTTGTTTGGGGTTCTGTGCACTTCCTGGACTTGTAAGTCTATTTCTTTCACCAGTGGGGGAAGTTTTCTGTCACTATTTCTTCCAATAGGCTTTCAGTATCTTGCTCTCTTCTTTTGGGACCCCCCCATAATTCTGATGTTGGTTCGCTTAAAGTTGTCCCAGATAGTTTCTTACACTATCTTCAACTTAATGGATTCTCTTCTCTTCTTGCCTCTGCAGAGGAGTGTCCTCTGGTTCTTTATGTTCCAAGTCTTTGACTTGATTCTTGCGATCTTCTTTTCTGTTTTTAGGACTCTGTATAATATATTTTTTTATTTTTATTTTGGACAATGTATTCTTTATTTCTAGTTGATCCCTTTTCATATCCTTGTTTATTTTATCAGCCTTTTCTAGGAAATTCTTGAAAAACCTTATAACCATGGTTTTGAACTCTATATCCAGTCTTTTGTTTTCCATCTCTTTAGTTTGAGATCTATTTCCTTGTCTCGGCATTTTCGCTGCTTCCCAGTTGGTAGGAAGCAGCTTTGTGTGTTTGGTGTCCTATATGGCCCAGTGGGTCAGCCTCCCCAGTTACCTGAGGTAAACACTCTTGGTGCTCCCCTTTGTGGACTGCGTGTACAGCCTTGTTGTAGTTAAGTCTTGATTGTTGTTGGTATCCCTGGGAGGAATTGACCTTCAGGTCAATTGGATGTGGGTATCAGCTATGTCTACTCTGGGATACCTTCTGTATTGGAGACAGTCTTATATGATCAGACTTGCAAAATTGCAAAAGCCTCTATGCTCAGCTTGGATGGGGCAGAGTCTCAGGGCTGAGCTGACAGACTTGGCTTCCCATCAGACATCCCCTTGTACACTTGCCTGAGTTTCCACCTGACCGTCCCAGATTCTCTGTGCAAGAGTGTGGGTGCCCCAGGGACTTGCCTGGAATTGGGTTGGGTCTCTGTAGTCTGAAGCTTTTGACTCCTTCCTCCACGGAGAGGCTGAGGCAACCTCTGCAGTCAGACCTCTTGGCTTGCACTCACTCGAGTGTGACTGTAGACCCTGTCTGCTGCGGCTCCCTGCTCCCCCAGTCTCTGAGTCTCCAGGTGCCTTTCTCTATGGTCAGGACTCCACCCGTATGAGCCTGGTCCACGGGGTTTCGGCCGGGGTTGGGGTTCAGTACAGTCAGAAAGGGTTCAGTGCAATCGGGGACTTTCTTTCCCCTCCCACCAGCCAGGCATTCGGCCGCACTTCCTCTCTGCGAGTGCATCACCCTACCTCAGCACTTTGCGGCTCCCAATCCGATCCATGAGCCTCTCTCTTTCTCCCTGGTTGTAGATTTCCCACTCTGCCAGCTTTCCTGTGTTTTTGGATTATGTCCGTTCTGATTTTAGTTGTTATTTTGAAATTGTTGTGCAGGGCGGCAACTTAGGTGCTTACCTAGGCATCTAGGCCGCCATCTTGGTTCTCCCAAAAAATTGGAACTTTTTCTCTCTCTTGTTTTTAAGCTGCTTATTTGGAAATACTGTAACCTTATTAAAGTTTGGGGAGAAATTACAAGATTCTACAAAAGGTTACAAAAAGTTACAACTTTGTACCCAGATTTACCTATGGTTGACATTTTACCACATTTGCAGTCTTACTTATTCTGTGTTCCTGTCTTCACATACATTGCTCTTTTTTTGAAAATTTGAGGGTAAATTGTATACGTCATAGTTCTTTATTGCTAAACATTTCAGTGCATGTTTTCTAAAAACAAGGATTTTGTCTTATATAACTACGTTATCAACTTTAGATAAATGTTAATCTACCATCCACATTCCAAATATTTAGGTTGGTCTAAAGTCATTCATAGTGGATTTTTCCCCCTCCAGTATAGTATTCAGTCTAGAGGCAGAAATTTGTCAGGTATCTATAGTTTTCCTTATTCTGGAACATTTCCAAAATCTTTCTTTGGCTTTTTATGACCCTGACATTTTGAAGAATATAGCCCTCCTCTTTTTTCTTTTTTTTTCTTTTTTCTTTTTTTTTTTTAAATAGAATGCCCCTTATTTTTTTTGGTAATATATATATTTTTTTAATTTTTAATTTTTTTTAAATTAAATTATTATCTGTGTACATATTTTAACATTGCCCCACCCATAAATACCCTCCCTCCCCAGAGTTTTGTGTCCATTGGTTGTACTTATATGTACTTAAATGTACTTATGTACTTCGGTTGATCTCTTATCTTCGCCAGAACTCCCTACCCTCTCAGCTGGGCTGTAATTTGACAGTCTGCTTATTGCTTTATTGTCTTTATATCTGTCTTTTGGTTCATCAGTTTATAATGTTCTTTAATATCCATAAATGAGTGAGGTCATGTGGTATTTCTCTTTCAATGACTGGCTTATTTCACTCACCATGATGTTCTCTAATTCTATCCAGGTTGCTGCAAATGATGAGAATTCCTTCTTTTTTATGGCAGCATAGTATTCCATTGTGTAGATATACCATAGTTTTTGGATCCAAGCATCTGCTGACGGGCACCTCGGCTGTTTCCAAATTCTAGCTATTGTAGCTTGTGCTGCTATGAACATAGGGGTGCATATATCCTTTCTGATTGGTGTTTCTAGTTTCTTGGGATATATTCCTAGGAGTGGGATTACTGGGTCAAATGGGAGTTCCATTTTCAGTTTTTTGAGGAAACTCTATACTGTTCTCCACAGTGGTTGCACCAGTCTGAGAATGCCCCTTATTTTGAGGAACAAAGGTACCTGATATTTCCTCATGATTAATTAAGTTTTTTACATTTTTGGGAGATGTTGTGTTCTGAAGGTATCACATTTGGGGGCACACTGTGTTCATCTGGGCCTCAGTGATGATGCTAATTTGATCACCCAATCGAGCTGACTTCACTGTATAATTGCTGTTCTATTTTATCTTTGTAACCAATGAGCAGTCAGTGAAGAGGTATTTGGAGACCATGTTAGTATCCTGCTGCAAACCCTCTATTGACTCAAGTAACTTAGAGGCCCACCTGTGCACTTGATTTTAGGAGTTACCAGGAAGACACAAAACCTCTAGAAAAAAGTTATCTCCACTCCATCTCTGATTTACATTGTTTGTGTTGATAGATTTATATTGTTTGTGTTAATTTACATTGTATTTGGTTGAATAAGGATTCATTTGGTATAAGAAATTGTTGATTTTCTTCCTTTTCTAGGGCAATTTTGTGTTTATAACAGACATATCTTTGTGATTTTTAAAGAGGGAAGGTGTATTAGCTGGCTCTCATGGAGAATGGAAATCACAAGAGGAGGGAAAGGAAATAAATTAGTTGATTAGCCAGTGCAGAACTTAAAAGTCATCTTCATTCATGAGTGGCTGTTTTTATATTCGCTCTTCCATCTCATTCACAATAAAGCAATATCTTTAGCACTGTCTTGATTGAATTAGTATTTGTTGAGTATATGTTCTGGATTCAGCCTTGTTTTTGTTGTCAAGGACTTCTATATGAAGGATATGAGGTTGCCCTCACTGTAAGGCATGTTAAAAATTGTGGAGGGAAAACACAAGTCTTGTATATTGAAACAGTTTAGAGAAGACTATGAGATGATTTATAATCCTCAGTGTTCTAAGTGGTCTGGGAGATGGAGGAAGGGATAGAGTTTAAGGAGAAGGAAGTAACCTAGATCTGGGGTGCAGTTGGGTTTGAATTGGTGCCAGGAGGCTGTGCTGAAAAAGGCAGCATAGCCATGGTGGATTCAGGACATTGAGGAGTGGGTGGTGCCAGTTAATTAAGTGAGGCTAAGATTATGAAATGGTTTGTAATTGGCAGCACATCATATCTCACCATGAATATACTTTGGAAAATTGTCCATATCTTGTTTGGATAGCATTGACATCCATTCAGAAAGAATTGCAAATTGCATTCGTATATGAGTAAATAATATTGAATGGGGGGTTGGAATAATAGGAAAAAATTAGAGGAAGGAGTTGCTTATGAAGAGAATCAAACCTGAAGTTACTGTGAGCAGTTCTAATAAAGCCATTTAATTGAGCAGGGAAATTAATGTTGATTTATTCTAAAAATGTTTTATTCTTGTATTTGTCAGAGATGGGAATATTTTTTAATAGCACTCTTCAACGAAGGACTAGGAAAATATATCTTAAATATATATTAATTTAGTGTAGTCTCTATGGAGATATTGATATTAGCCATCACCAAATTTTTTATTAAGGTGCATCAATGGGGTTTTTGATTACCATATAAAGAAGGTAGATGTGAGTAAAGTAAGCTTTTGTTGTGAAAGCAAACTGATGTTGAATTGACAGCATAAGAGTTTCCCAGGTAATTTGTGATCCAGGCAGTATTAAAAGCTCCCAATGAGATTCTGTGTATTTAGGAACTACTGCCTTGAACCATTTCTAAAACCTGTAATTCAAATGGGGGTAGAAGCCTCCAGGTGGCTGACCTTCACAGGTGGTTTGGGCTGGCCTCTTTGTTCTGGCAAATTCCTTTGCTTACTTTATGTGATACCTTAGATATATATTTTTTGTGTGTGTGGATACAGCTTCATGTTTTTAGAAAATGTAAGTAAAACCTACTTAGCTATTTAACACACAAATTAGTTAATTCAATATATAATCTTTGAGTGCCTACGTGCCAAAGATATGATGGAAATAAGAAAGACATAGTTCTTGCCTCTGTAATTTTATAGTCTAATTAAACATACCATGCATTTTTGTTTTTCTTTAAGGTGCAAAATAATCCAACGTCACAGAGTAATGGGAGCGAGTATTCTCCAGATAAGGTAGGTTTCTTGAAGATTAATAAAAGCTGATCTATTCTTTGAAGTCTGAAGACTATATATTTATATATATATATATATATATATATATATATATATATATATATATATATTGTCTAAGATTATCATGATTAATGAATTAATTGTATTGCAGGTTCTCTATGGAAATCTATCTCATTAGCTTTCAGAGCCTTAACTGGCCCTATTCATAAATAAAGATTAATTTTATAAGATATATTTTGAAAACCAAACATGGGAACATCTTTATAAAAAATAAAATGAAAATAGTTTAAATAGGCCACATATAGAATGTCTTGTTTTCCATCAGTGATTCAGTGAGTGGTTTGCCTGTAGATAGGGATGGGGAATGTCTGGCCTGAGGGCCATATAAGGAAGGCCCAGGAAATCATTTGGTTTTGCCCTGCCACGGCAACCACAGGCGGGACTCAAAATTCAGTAAGTCTCAGAGCTTTTTCCATTGCAACATAAATTTATATTAAGTGAATTATATTAGCGAATATGTTATAAATATCCAAATGGCTCTAGGCAGAAAAAAGGTTCTCCACTGCTGCTGTAAATGAGAGGTGTGTTCAGTATTATGAGTCTTTATCATAATTATGAGCTGTGTTCTCTGTGAGGTAGATGTGAGTGTGTGCCTGAGTGTGTGCATGCATGCCCCTGAACACATTCATTGTGGGGCAGAAAAGGATTGTCAGTTTCACATGATTGTAAAATCTATATATATAAAACCCTAAGCGACCAGTCAACCATTTGGCCAGCTGTACCCTGGTAGTCAGTGCACTCCCACAGCAGGAGCACTGCTCAGCTGTTGGGCACCAGACTCCAGGCTCACAGCTGGTGAGCATAGCTGCTGCAGGTGCGAGGCTCCCCTGCCCCCATGCCAGTGCTGCTGAGCAGCGGTAGGCGCAGGAGGGCCAGGATAAGCAAGTGGAGGGGTGGCTCGGGGCTCTTCCCTGGGCTTGGGCTCCTCCCCAGCCTCCTGCTGCTTAGCACACTACTGCATCCCTCGGGGTGGGGAATGTTGGACTGATGATTTCAGCCAGCCTGTGGGGATGGGCCAAAACCACCAGCCCATCCCCTGAGGGGTCCTGGATTGTGAGAAGACACAGGCCAGGCTGATGGAGCCCACCAATGCATGAATCTATGCACCCAGCCTTTAGTATTTTTTAAATGATCAAATAAAAATGAATGGTTCTCCCCCAAAATAACTTCTGTTGATTATGCCACTCAAAGCATTTGCATTTATTTTCATATTATTTAGTCAGGACTTCACACAGCAGCAAATGCAAAAAGTTGTGGTTTTATTAAAATCCTTGAGCATAGAGAAGCATGCATGAATAGTTCTGCTTCAGTTTTTTACAAAATTTTCTTTCCTTATAAAAACTCAGATTAGAGAAAACTCCCCGGAAGTCTCTCCAACCACCAGCAGTACAGCTCCATTTGGCCTGAAACCTCGATCAGGTAAACTAAAGCCTCAACATTCATAAACTTGTAAACAACTCAGTGGTTTCTCTTTAGCCTTCTAATGTACACAGCCTTGTCAACTCTGGTGAGTTTTAATCCTGGTGTCAGAACCTGATTACAGCTTGGGAAGGCCAGATTTGGAACCTTGTTTTTAGTTATTCAGTTAGTAAGTTTGTGTTATCAGTAATAAAGATCTTACCTCTATTATTCTGAATCAGAGTGAAGAGGGAAAAGATGATGGGACATATAAGTGGGAAAGAATTATTCTATTGAATTGTATTGATTTTAGGGAGGAAGGGAGGGAGAAAGAGAGAGAAACATCAATGATGACAGAATCACTGATTGGCTGCCCCCCTGCCACACTCCCCTTTCATCTCCCCCTCCCTGCACGCTCCACACCAGGAACAAGCTCATAACCTGGGCATGTGCCCTGACGAGGTATCAAACCATGACCTCCTGGTTCATACTAGTAGGTCGACTCTCAACCACCAAGCCACACAAGCTGGGCTCTATTGAGTTCTTTTTAATCCAGGGAAGATAAAATAGCTAGCCCTGTGTCCCAGATGGTTCCTGATAAGTTAAAGAAAGGTTTCTGGGAAGGTGACTTCCTTTCTGAGACATCCCTCATTGGTATTCTGAGCCTTGGTGTAGGGTCTGTGTATTTACTGTATAACGGGGTGATAGGTCATTTCAAGGCTCACATAACTGGCCAGGAATCTTTTTAAAGAGCCTTTTTGCTTATATTACCTACTTTCTTTTAATTTCTTATTAGTGTATTCACAAATGTAAATTATAGCAGTGTGCAGACTGACTCTTGATTTTAGAAAGAAGGATTATGTATAGAAAAATTTTCTTCTGATTTCTCCACCTATTTAAAATTCTGGCACTTTTCTACCTTCTTAGTTTTCACATTTTTTATTTTTAGGTCTTTTGCATATGCTCACTACTATGCTTTTAACTGAGTACTAGAAAATAACTCAGGTACTTTTAAGCAAAAACTAGTAAAAAACTCAGATATCATTGGATTTTTCAGTAAAGCATTTTGGCAACAATTGAAGTTACACATGTGTATATTTTGAAAATGTGTATATTTTGAAAATACCCATAAAGAAAACAAAGATAATTCTTTTATAAAGGGTTTTGTTTTGGAAGCAAGTTGATTGATGGTTACCCTGTGGCCGGGTATATGGTTTCCTGGGCATTTTGAATGGGCTGTAAGACAAAGCTATTTGAAATAATGCTTGGGTGTGGCAAAGGTTGTCAGTAGGCATTTTATAGGAAGGTGTTTTGTTTGTTACAAAATAAGTTCAAATGAATAGCCTCTTCGTTTTTGGGACTGAGATTCGGGCCAGCGTCCATTTTCATGGTCTCCGTGTGTGCTAGGAGGAATGGCGGTCACTCGGGGCATATGCCATCTGTGCCTTTGGTGATCACCACACGCTGAGGACCTCATATTAAGCTACAGACTATCCCCTAATCCTTACAAAGCAGTTTTGCACAATAATAAATATTTTCTAATTGATTGAATAAAAGTTGAATAGATCTTAGAAAAATAATATTTTGAACATTGCAATTTAGTTGTAAAATTATCTCAGTGACTTCTTTATTTCCTTGTATGGAATCAAAACTCAGCTTATCAACATTGTACTTGTACTGTTAAACCATTTCAAATTCTTTGTAGTGGTGAAAAATAAAGGGGTATTTATTTTGAATAGCAGAAAACAAAGACAATTTCCTCTCCAATTTCAGTCCTTCTATAATGCTGACTAACTTATGTGGAAATTGTTCCAGTTGAAAACTCGGTGGAGTTTGGTTGCTGTAAATAAAGCTAATTTATCTTCAGAACATAAAGTGGATTTTGGAACTTTATAAAACTAGAATTATATATTGGGATTTTTTTCATTTTATTTAATAATGTTAAAGTATGTTCTTTCATATTTTCTAGAAAATAATATATACAGTAATCTTAATTGAACATGATATAATTTTAAAAGATAGAAATATTTTTTGATTGAGTATCTTTGGAACTTTTAAAAGCCAAATGATTTTTATTTTAAAGTTCAGTATATGGATTTATGTGATTTCTTTCATATAAAAAACATAGACTGCTCAAATTAGTAAGTTGGAGTAAAAATTTATACTTTTGAAGCAGATTGGTAGTTTACTTCAAAGAACATTTTTTCTGTCTCCTGTGTTTTCCTCCAAAGAAAGACAACTGTATATAACCAAATAGTCTTAGAAGCATGTCTATTTATTTTACTGGCCCTGTGTATATAAGTAACTACATAACATTTTCTAGTTATAGTTCATTTAAGTATTTTCTAAACATATAATTACTATATGCATATTTAGTGCAAAGAAAATGTTTTTTCATAAATAACCAACTCAGAGTGCTTGAAGTTGAATGATATTTATTGGTTAATGAGATTTGTTGTTAAAGAGACTACTAGTATCCGTAATTGTTTTTATATGAACAAATATTGAAGACAGTATTTAAATGTGTGCATGTCAAGTGTTGAACAAAGAGTTGGCTATATTCACCTATCAATAAAGCATGCCAATAGACTTAGATCTCTTTAAAGAGATATTTTATATTGCCTTATGAAAAAATTTCACAATAGTAAACACTGATTCTATAATAATTATATTGTTAAGTAATAGATATAACTATCCATATTAACCTTGTACTATGTAACCAAATTTTTTGTGTGAATCATATTTGCTAAAATTATTATTTAGAAGGTCTCCGAAAAGGTTATCTGGTAGATCTTTTGTTTTTTTATCTATAATCTGTGGGTACTCTTTTTTTTCTGCTGACATGATTCATTAGTACTCAAAGTCTGTGGGCTTATGGAACTGTTAAGATTCATGATTTTAACTGCATGCAAAGTATATGATTGATAAGTACTAACACTCAGTTTTTATCATTCTTTTTATTCCATGCACCATCTTCCATTCTTTTCTTATATTGTACATTTGAAATTAAATCCCATAAAATGAAATTTACTTCATTTCCATATAATTCTTGTGCCATTTGTGGAATGCTGCTGCCCCTTTGGTTTTTCCTGGTCCTTGTGCAACTATACGCGGACTGGCTCTCTCGCTCTCCTGCAGACCCAGCCCTCACTCTTCCTATCTCCTTCAACAAACTTACACAGGCACAAACATGGGACAACTCTAGCTACAGTGTTCCATCTGAAGGAGACAGTGACAATGGTAGGTGGCTTTGTACCTTTTCTTCAATGTGCTTATTAATAAGCCAATTATTATATTGAGCACTAATTTCTGTGCAGCTAAAGATAGAGCTATATTCACTTGCGTGCCCGATAAAAAAGATATTGAGTAAACCTGGAAAGGGAAGTCCAGAAAAGTGCATGAGTATTGTTCTCTAGCAGTTTGTCAAACGTCTTTTAATTATTTTGAATATTCTGAATTTGGACAGAGCTTTACAGTAATTTCTTCTCTATTTTTCTGTTTGAGTTTTTTGGCTTGTTTGCTTATTTACAAAAATCTGGGGTTTGCACAGTTGGATTATCTATGCTTGCTCCTGCATTTGAAAGAAATACTTTTAGACTTTGGTCTTTCATTGTCTATGCTCTCTGTATATTTTAAAAAATACATTTTTATTGCTTTCATAGAGGAGAAGAGAGAGAGGGAGAGAGATAGAAACATCAATGATGAGAGAGAATCAACAATTGGCTGCTTCCTGCACGCCTCTCACTGAGGAGTGAGCCCGCAATCCGGGCATGTGCCCTGACAGTGAATCTAATTGTTACCTCCTCATTCATAGGTCGATGCTCAGCCACTGAGCCAGCCAGGCCTGCATGAGATTTTTAAAGTAATTACAATGTGCTGTGGCTGATCCTAGGATGCATGCTAAAAATGTTACCATTGAGAAATTTCTAAAAATGAGGAGAATTCACTTGCCTTCTCATTTTTTTTCCAAATTACTTGCTTATTTTGATTTTTAATACCTTCCACTTTTTTTTTTTAGTATAAATTCATCTATATAATACTTAAGAATGGTAACTTGGCCTGAGAATCAAACTTCAAATGAAAATTGAGGATATCTACTTGATATATTTTTTTAAAATATATTTTATTGATTTTGTACAGAGAGGAAGGAAGAGAGATAGAGAGTTAGAAACATCGATGAGAGAGAGTCATCGATCAGCTGCCTCTTGCACACCCCCCACTGGGGATATGCCCGCAACCAAGGTACATGCCCTTGACGGGAACCGAACCCGGGTCCCTTCAGTCCCCAAGCCGACGCTCTATCCACTGAGCCACGCCGGTCTTGGCTACTTGATATATTTTTATGTCATGAAATATTTTAAATAGCTTAAGAGATGAAAACAAAATAAATATAATTTATTTAGAGTTACATAACACATAGTTGAGTCTCTATTAGTTCATATTTTAAACATTTTACTTCAAGATACATAATGATAAAAGTAATGTCAAATGAAATGGAGAGTATGATTTACCCAGAAGAGAAGTGAGATGTGAGATAGCACAATGCAGAAGATTTATTTCCCAATAATAATGTTTATTATTTATTTTTTAATTTAAAAAAATTGATTTCACTGAGAGAAGAAGGGATACAGAGAGCAAAACATCAATATTTGCCTCCCATACAAACCCCGACTGGGAAACAAACCTGCAACCTGGAGTCAAACCCATGACCTTTTGGTGTATGGGATGACACTCCAACTAATTGAGCCACCCTGGCCAGGACAATCATATTTTTTAAAATCTGTGTTATATATGTAATACATAGAAAATATGTATTTAAAATATTTGCTGTGATTTCTGGTCAAAATTCATCTGTAAATGCCTTTCCAGTTGTCTTATGTAAAAGACAACTGGAAACTAATCTTGGCAGGTTAGTTATTAAAGGAATTTTATTATTTCATATATTTCTAAATTTTTTAACTGAAAATAAGTATGGTTGCACAACAAAACAAAAGTCCCTTCTTATATGATTCTTTTTTAAATTCTGGAAGTTAAGGAGGGCTAAATGGAAACTTCCTTGGAAACTTCTTTTACTTAAAAAAGAGGGAGGGAGGCATTTTTGTGTTTTTCAGAAAACAGGGCTATTTGTGGGTCTGATGTTGTTTAAAGGAGATAAAGCCTAGAATGAAAGATTTATGTGTGATTTGGTATTTCCTTACGAGTGATATCTGAAACCAAAGAACTTTATGTAGTTTTTAAGCTGGAAAAAGTTTAGACATCTTATGCAACAGTAGAATGTCTATTGTTACCGATGAGCCCACTAAAACCAGAAAGATGAGGTGACCTGTCAGGTCACATTGCTGTATAGAGATGGAGATGGGTCATGCCCAAGGCCCCTGTCTATCATATTTGCGTTCATTCTCCAGCTGTTCACTGAGGACTCTGTGCAAGCTATGAAGTCAGATTGCTTCTTTTTAATGGAGAGAAACAGATCTATACAGTAAGAGAGGAAATGATATGTACTGTGAGAGAGATATAAATATGACTTAAAAGAATAAAAATTGTAGGTAATATAATCAGAGCTATCATAATGGTCCCAATTCAAATTATTCTTTCCTAACAATCCTAGCAAAAAAACAAGTACTTAAGTGCTTTGTAGATTTATTTACTTATTTTTAAATTGGAAATATTTTTTTATTTTTAAAAATATATTTTATTGATTTTTTTAAATTTTTTTTTACAGAGAGGAAGGGAGGGATAGAGAGTTAGAAACATAGATGAGAAACAACAATCAGCTGCCTCCTGCACACCTCCTACTGGGGATGTGCCCACAACCAAGGTACATGCCCTTGACCAGAATTAAACCTGGGACCTTTCAGTCCGAAGGCTGACACCCAATCCACTGAACCAAACTGGTTAGGGCTCTTTGTAGATTTATTATTAGCTTAAAGACTTTGTTTTAAATTTTCATCTATCCCACAGTAATTAATCCATTTAAAAAACTAGTAGTAATTGTATATTCATGGTTTGCAATAATTTTATATACATTTGAAATGTTCATTTAAAAATCCACAGTTCAGATGTATTTTAACACTTTGTGATTACTTAACATCATAGAGCCAAATACCCAAGCATGCATTTTGTATTTTGAATTTGAGATGAAAAGCGATGCCAAGAAATTAAAACCTAGACACCATTGCCTATCTTTTATCTCACATAAGGATCCAACAAGACATTGACACTTGAATTATATGCTGTTAAACAAAAGCTTATGGTTAGTTTAATTTCCTGATAGTTTTGTATTATGAATGAAATCTGCCAATAAAAACACTGAAATATTAAACACACAATATTATATAAGATTGCCCCCAGGAAAAAAGGCAAAGGAAAATCCTTCAAACATTAGATTTTTTTAAATAGTGTTGGGGCTCCCCTTGCTGGCTTGTTTGTATATTGCTCATTCTGTCTATATTCCTTTACTTTTTGGTAAATGTGGTTTTCTTTTCTTCGGGTGTGGATTATTTCTAGATTTTATATTTTAATATTTATATCTCTTGTGGTTGTGTTTAAATGGAATTTTTTTTTTTATTGGGCTCAGTATTGTGTGTGGGCAAGCCTAATGCGTTTCCTATTTCGTCAGACTTTCCTTCATTTTCCTTTGCTCTGTACATTTCTCATTTCTCCCTGCTGAGTTCTCATTTCTCCCTGCTAGTTACTCTTTCTTTTCTGATCTTGCCTTTGTTTTTAAAATAATTTAAAATAATTGCTCTGGAAAGTGGGGTTTGGTTTTCCTGGGCCTTGGTAACAGCCCTTTGGTGGCGTGTTTTTGGAGCTTTTTGCCTGTGACTTCCTTGGATGGCTTGAGGCAGAGGCTCAGCCCCATGCTGACTCCTCTCTGAGGTTCCAGAAGACATTATGTACTTTAGATCACTCCCTTTCTCCATTAACTCTAAATTAAAGGTCTATTAAGATGTGTCAAACTTTTGGTCTTTCATAAGCATTAGAATGCTGATGCAAAAATTCTAGAACTGACTTATAAAGAAAATACTGAGACATTTGAAGTACAACAAAAGTCATTTATAAGGTGGTTTAGTCCAAAGATACAAATTGAGATTAAAATGGCACTGTTGAGTGAGCATGGAATAATTGATTTTATGGAGTGGACTTGAGTTTTTAATTTTTTTTTATTTAAAGTATATTTGTAAACAATATTCAACCTAAAAAAAAAAAAAAAACCTAATAAGTTGGAACAATTTCTAAAGTGGCTCATAGGAAATATTTGTCAAAATAGAATAGTAGTTGCATAACCTTTTTGTTCTACACTAGTGGCCCAGTGTACAAAATTTGTGCTGGGAGCAGGGGACCTGCGGGAGATGGTCCCTCAGCCCGGCCTACACCCTCTCTAATCCTCGGGGAATGTCTGATTGCTAGTTTAGGCCCGATCCCTGCTTGCTCCAACTGTCCCCCCCGCCAGCCTGCTTGCCCCCAACTGCCACACCTGCTGGCCTGATCGCCCCCAACTGCCCTCCCCTCCTGGCCTGATCACCCCTAACCGTCTCTGCCTCAGTCCCACCACCATGGCTTTGTCAGGAAAGATGTCTGAAAGGTTTCTCGGTCTAATTAGCATATTAGCCTTTTATTAGTGTTGATTATTTACATTATGGTGGATGATATTATTAGAATTGTATCATGCCAATGCAGACTTTCTACCTTGTATTGATTTTTGAAATTGGAGTTCTCTGCCCAAAATTTCCTAAAGTGCTCCCCTACCCTTCTCCCTAAACACACATACATAGTCTAATGGGAGCTAAATATGCCTCTTACCAGCTCTTTGCTCCCTCTGTGTGCTTGGAAAGTCTTAATAGGATAAAAATCTCAAGGGAGAAAAAAAATCAAGTTTAAATCTCCTCTGGGTTTTGTGTCATAAATAAAACTCAGAGAATCAGTTTCACATTAGAAGATTCTAGAATTGCTTTACATATTTAAAATAACACAGGTTAATAATTTGTTGGCTAAAATGTTTCATAAGCCTGAGTTAAGAACTAAGTGATGATACACAGGATTACATGTTTGAGTATGGAGTACAAAAATTCTGCCTTCTATCATGCCAGTGACAGTGAATCCAAAAAGTTAGCTCTTTAGAGATGACCATAGATTCCTTTTAGAAAAGTTAGCAAGATTAGAGGCAGGTAAGAGATTATCATTGGTTTCAGATCCTAAAATTACAACCTCCAGGTATAGCAACCAGCAGTGGTGCTCCCTCTGAAAGGAGTTAAGCGTCTGGCTGCAGAAAAAGGTGTGCTCTAAACAAGCAGTCGCCAACCTTTCAGACCACACGTACCACCGGTCTAAACTTGAGAAGAATAATATCTTCTAAAGACTAATACAGAGGGTACAAAATATTCTACACATAAGTAAGGGTCAGTGGCATGCTGGAAGGCAGGATTCTTCCATTCCACACTCAAACATGTAATCCTATGTATCATCACTTAAGTTCTTAACCCAAGCTTATGAAACATTTTAGCCAACAAAACATTAATCTCTGCTATTTTAAATATGTAAAGCAATTCTAGAGACTTATGTGAAACGGATTCTCTGAGTTTAATGAATAGAATGTGAAACCTCGAGTGTAATGTAAATGAAAACTTAAAATGAAACCCTGGGGAAAATGAGAGAGGAGGGAAATCTTTCAGAGAGTGAGTTGGACCCGTTCTGAAGATGAGCCAATCTCTTTCCTGGATTCGGTTTAGTGCCACCAAAAAATACAGCTTTTGTTAGTCACACAACCCAGTATAATTTTAAAATATAATCTTTTTTAGAACATTTAAATCATGCTTTCCAGTGGTGTCACATTTTTACCATTATTTCTGTGAGCGGTGAATGAAATATTTGGGATAAATAAAGAAACCATTTGCTTAATTTAAATATGAATAGTGTTATGGTAACCTACTCTAGATAATTCATAAAGGCTTTTTTTCTTTTCTATTATAGTATTTCTAAGACCTCAGAGAAATTTGGAATCTATAGACCCACAGTTTACAATTCGGAGGAAAATGGAACAAATGAGAGAAGAAAAAGAACTGGTGGAACAACTCCGTGAGGTACCCAAGAAATATTATATAACTGAATAATAACTGTCAGAACTGGAGCAACATGGCGGTGAGGGGCACCTCTCCCCAACCACTGCCACTGAAGCAGTTGAAAATCTGAGTATAACTTTTGACTCTCCAAAAACTTAACTACTAAATAGCTTGTTAACCTGAAGCATTAATGGTAACATCAACAGTTGATTAACACATACTAAACATGTATTATGTACTGTATTCTTACAACAAAGTAATCTAGAGAAAATGAAATGTTATTAAGAAAATCATAGGAAAAGACATTTATAATACCATACATATTTATCAGAAAAAATCCTTGCCCTAGCAGGTTTGGCTCAGTGGATTGAGCATTGGCCTGTGAACTGAAAAGTTCTGGGTTCAATTCCAGTCAAGGACACATGCCTGGGTTGCAGGCTCAATCCCCAGCACGGGGCATGCAAGAGGCAGCTGATCAATGATTATCTCTCATCATTGATGTTTCTATCTCTTTCTTCCTCTCCCTTCCTTTCTGAAATCAATTAAAAAAATTGATTTTTTTATTGTGTAAGAGGACACTATCAGTCATGTTTCTGTTCATTCATATTTGCATATTTCATTAATTCTTCAGGGGAAATGCTATATTCTTTTAGAAATCCTTTAGTTGTCACTTTTTTTTCCTTTTTTAAGTGACATTTTAATTGAAAATATTATATAATAAGAAATAATGTTAATTGGAGAAAATAGAGATATGATGAATAAAAATAAATACTTTTTTATCCCATTGCTTAAAGACAAGCATTGTTAACATTTTGGCTTCTACTGGCATTCTTTCTACATTTAAGTTGTTTCCAAGTTGTGAATATCTCATATACAGTCATGGGCCGCTTAACAATGAGGATATGTTCTGAGAAATGTTATCAGGCAATTTCACTGTTTTGTGAACATCTTAGAGCACACTTACACAAGCTTAGATGGTGCAGCCTACTACACACCTTTGCTATATAGTAACCACCGTTGTATATGTGGTCCATCCTTGACCAAAATGTCCTGATTCCCCCACAGAGCATTGAGATGAGACTCAAGGTCAGCCTGCATGAAGACCTGGGGGCTGCGCTCATGGATGGTGTTGTCCTCTGCCATCTGGTCAATCACATCCGCCCGCGATCTGTTGCAAGCATCCACGTCCCCTCACCAGCAGTTGTAAGTAAAGTGAAACCAGTTTTTATATAAAACAGTCTCTTTTGAGACAGTGTTGCTGGCTAACAGTGCCAGTGGGATCACCAGGAGATCCTCCCTTGCTGGGCCCCAAACCACTAGAAGAGCAGAAAGGAGTAAGTCTGAAGGAAGCAATATTTTCACTGTAAAAAGGGAGAATAGTCTGTCTAATAAAAGGGTAATATGCAAATTGACTGTCGCTCTAACACACAAGATGGCCAGCAGGGGAGGGCAGTGGTGGGCGATCAGGCCAGCAGAGAAAGGCAATTAGGGTGATCGGGCTGGCAGAGGAGGGCAGTTGGGGGAGACCAGGCCTGCAGGGCAGGACAGCTTGCGGGGGACCCAGGCCTGCAAGGGAGGGCAGTTGTGGGGGGGAACACACCTGCAAAGGAGGGCATTTGGGAGGGACCAGGCTGACAGAGGAGGACAGTTGGGGGGACCAGGCCTGCAGGGGAGGGCAGTTGGGGTGACCAGACCAGCAGGGGAAGATAGTTAGGAGTTACTAGGCCAGGAAGGGAGGACAGTTGGGGGTTACCAGGCCAGGAAGGGAAGACAGTGGGGGTGACCAGGCCTGCGGGGAAAGACAGTTAGGGGCAACCAGGCTGGCAGGAGAGGGCAGTTAGGGGTGATCAGGCTGGCAGGGGAGTGGTTAGGAAGTGATCAGGCTGGCAGGCAGAAGCAGTTAGGGACAGTCAGGGAGTCAGGCAGTTGAGCAGTTGGAAGCCAGCAGTCCTGAATTGTGAAAGGGATGTTTAACTGCCCTCGAGGGGTCCCAGATTGGAGAGGGTGCAGACTGAGCTGAGGGATACACACACACATACACCTGCACGAATTTTATGCATCGGGCCTCTAGTTTAAAATAAATGTGTCAGTTACAGAAAATGAATTTATTTCAAATATAGAGCAAATCATATTTACAAAATTACTGGTTGAGGTGCTAATTTTACAATGTTAGGGACTAAAGATTCATTTCTTTTTAAAAAAAATGTATTTCATTATTTTTTACAGAGAGGAAGGGAGAGAGATAGAAAGTTAAGAACATCAATGAAAGAGAAACATGGATCAGCTGCCTCCTACACACCTCCCACTGGGGATGTGCACACAACCAAGGTACATGCCCTTGACCGAAATTGAACCTGGGACCTTTCAGTCCGAAGGCTGACACCTAATCCACTGAGCCAAACTGGTTAGGACTAAAGTTTCATTTCTTACCAAGGCTTATTTATCAGTGAGAAGGCTTGAATGGGGTTTGTTTCCTTTATTAATCTTTAGGGATTTTAGCATAGCTCTGAAAAAAATGTTGGCTCTGTGTAAAAAATCATTAGTGACCTGTCGAGCCAAAGCTGATCAGCCATCATTAATGCAACAGTTCCTTGATCATTCACTGTGCTCCAGAGAACATTGGGAGGTACTTGGGAATGATGGGAAATATGAAAATAACTGAGACTCCATTAATGCCCTAAAAATATTTGTCCCCTCTGTAGGGGTGGTAAAGCTGGCAAGTAGATCCTCTTCCTGTATACACAGAGCATGTTACCATCCAGAGGAGAACTATGGAGTCACTTTTATGGTCAGTCAGATGACGGTGGAGAAAGGGATCAGCTTGTCCTAGAAGCCTATGTCAGGTTCAGACAAGTAGAGAAAAAGAAAAACATCTATTCACACTATTTGCTGTTCTTTAGACAAGGCAGGAAAAGAGTAAAGGCTAAGACTTAGGTTTTGGATTCAAATTCCAGATCTGCTCATAAGCTGTATGTCTTTGGAAACATTTTTTAAGCACTCTTAAACTCAACTTGCTTTTCCCTACCATGGGAAATATTGTGAGGTTGAAATTGAAATATGATATACGCATACATGTAAGCCATTCTTATCATTAGTGTTAATAGAGCAGATTTTCAAAATTCAGACTTCTTAATTCCAAGGCAGTGCTCATAAAGAGACCACAGGCAGGGGCACTGGGGGAAAGCCTCTGTGAAGCCATCTGCGCCTACCCTCGGCCTCACATTGACACTATTTGTCCTAATTTCTTTCCTCTGTTCTTAGCTGATAATGCCATTTCAACTCTCAGTTTCTTTTTTATACTATTGAACATGTTTTTCCTTTGGAAAGTTTGGTCATTTTTTGCTTCAGAAAATGGGTGGGGGCTCTCCCTCACTTCCAGAGATGGAACGTTTTCTTTATGTAGCTTGAAGCACACTTTCATTGATTTTCTGGGCTGACCTAAGTATTTTGAATGATGTTGAGCATCTTTAGAATTTCAGAACAGACTCCCCTAAATCGTAATTAGACAAAAGAGGGTCAAAACTGCCTCTCAGTATCCTGTGTGCTGGGTCTGATTTCCCCATATCACATTACCCATTTCTGTGCCTTCTCTTTGCATGAGGCTGAATGTAGCTGTCTTGTCCTCAGATATATGAGGGTGGGCATAACCACCTAGCAGCTTCTTGACCCGTCTTTGCAGACTCATGTCCTCTTTAGCCAGAGTGGAGAATATTTGTTTAGACTCCCAATTAAATTGTTCCACCTGGAGGCAGGATTTCTTTCTTTTTTTCAGGGGTGGGATAGAGGAAGTCCCTTTTATTAATAAATACTGTGCAAATTTAGTTTTATGAAGATTGGTGCAGGCCCCTAAGTGATGGAATGAATTGCTTCATTCTCAGTTGCTGTTAGCAGGGTAAGGTCAGTCTTTATAAAACATTGCTCTACACATAGAAAGTTGGAATTATTCATGCTTCTTGCCTCCCTTTTTAAAAGAACTGGTAGTGGAATGTTAAGTTTAGCAGTAAAGCTTTTAAAACAGCATGTAAAAAATAAAAATATGTGAATCAAGATGTGCCTGTTATCCATGCCACACACCCAGAAGTCACCTCTCCAGGGTCAGCACTCTTGGAGAGGCTCTTGTTCAGTGCTGTTTATCTTGATGTTGCCTCTTTCTAATTAAATCCATTGCTTCAATGGGAAGGAGTTTAATTGGCCTGCTGAATTTAACCCTTCATATACAAATATAATTGCTGATAGGAAAAAGTGTATTTTTAGGTGAACTAAAATACATCACACAAGAGTTTGACCCCATAAAGTTGTGTATAAGTATGTGTATGTGAATACATGTATATAAGCACATATGTATATATGCAGAAAATTTTTGCATATATGCATACATGTATGTATTTGTATAAATATATACATATGGCCTGGTGCAGAAAGTACATGCATGATGTGGGGGGGAGGGAGAAGAGGAGGGGGTGTGGAAGCAGGTCTCCCTCAGCCCGGTGTGCAACCTCTCCAATCTGGGACATCCCTCTCGCAATCTGGGACTGCTGGCTCCTAACCACTCACCTGCCTGACCACCTAATTGCCCCCAACTGCCCCTCCCCACTGGCCTGCTCACCCCCAACTGCCCCCCCCCCCAGCCTGATCACCCACAACTTGCCCCCTGCCAACCTGCTTGCCCCCAACTCCCCCACTGCCAGCCTACTTGCCCCCACCTGCCATCCCCGCCAGCCTGATCGCCCCCAACTAATCCCCACTGCCAGCTTGCTCACCCCCAACTGGCCCTCTCTGCCAGCTTGCTCACCCCCAACTGACCCCCCCCCCAATAACCTCCCCCACTGCCTGATCACTCACAACTGCCCTCCCCTCTTGGCCCCTAACTGCCTCTACCTCAGCCCCCACCACCATGGCTTTGTCCAGAAGAATGTCCGGAAGGTCTCCTGGAAGGTCTCCCAGTCTAATTAGCATATTACCCTTTTATTAGTATAGGTAGGGGCTGGCTGGTTTGCCTTGAAGGGTGTCCTGGGTCAGGGTGGGGGTTCCCTTGGTGGGCGGGACAGCCTGGGCCTGGGCAAGGGGCCTGTGGTGGTTTGCAGGCTGGCCATGCTCCCATTTGGGTGGGCATCCCCACTAAGGGGGGTGTGGCCAGCCCGGGTGAGGGGCTGATAGCTGATTTCATGCTGACCATGCCCCCTTCAGGGTGGGGGTCCCCACTGGAGTGCTTGGGCAGCCTGGGTGAAGGGCCTATGGCTGTTAGCAGGCTGGCCACACCTCGCAGTGGAGACCCTTACCCTGATAGCGGCGTGGCCAGCTTGGGTGAGGGACTGAGAGCTATTTGCAGGTCCCTCCCTCGGTAGCCAGCCCCGGGCGACCCAAGCCTCCCCTCCCGGATGCTCAGGCTAGCTCTGTGGCCACCACCTACAGGCTCCTCCTTCAGTGGCCAGCCAGGGTGGGTGGGAAGCTTGGGTCACCCCCAGCGACAGAGGAAGCCAAGCTTCCTCCATCCCTAAGGACAACCCAAGCCTCCCACTCACTCTGGCCTGCTCCATGGCCGCCACACAAAGGCCCATACTTCGGCAGCCAGCCCAGGTGGATGGGCAGCTTGGCTTCCTTCATTGCCAGGGACAACCTAAGCCTCCTGCCTGCTCCGGCTGGGTCTGTGATCACCACCATCTTTGTCCTGCCAATTTGCATATTTTGTCCTGATTGGCTATGGGTGTTGCGGAGTGACAGTCAATTACCATATTTCTCTCTTATTAGTATAGATGTGCAGAAATTCTGCATATAAGATACATAACTATGTATACACATATATATGTCTGTATACACTAACATGTATGCATATAATATCTGGAAAAATATAATAAAAACTACTACTAGTTCTTTTCTCTATGTGGACATTTCTGGATAGGCAAATTTTTATTGTCTTCTAATTGCATACATAATTCTTCAATAAACACATATTACTTGTGCCATTTAGAAAGTTTAAATTTTAAGTTATTGTTACATAATTATTTCTCTTTTAGTAATACATTATTTCTGCTTATTTGTATTTATAGCCCAAGCTTAGCATGGCCAAATGCAGAAGAAATGTGGAAAACTTTTTGGAAGCATGCCGAAAATTAGGAGTACCAGAGGTAAAACCAAACTTATCTAAATACTGTGTTTTAGAAAAGATTTTATGTGTTTGAACCTACTGAATAGATGTACAACTTTGTACATCCTTTTAATCTGTCTTTCTAAAGAAATATTAAATAAGTCATAAAAGTTTAGTTTAAATTTCTCTATTACAATGAAATTAAAATGTCTTAAGTCATATGGTCAATTCTGAATAAAAGGAGAATGTAATTTCTTCGAGGTTTTAAAGTAAGTGTATAATTCCAAAACTGAAAAAAACCCACAAACTTAGTTTGCTTGATCTCCTATTCCAAGAGCAGAAAACCTGAGCCTTGGACGAGCCTCAGTCTGGTCCCGTAGGGTAGACTTTGGAGCTGATGACTTTCCTTTTCCAAGACTCTTAAGTAAAGCAGAGATATAAGACAACTAATTTGTTGATTTTCATTTTAGGTGTATGTGGATTACAATGATCAGTATTAAAATAGTAATTATTATTATTAATAGTTACCATTAATAATAATAATAATTAATAATAATAATAATGTTTGTATGTTGTTTTGTAGTTTGTTAACTGTTTGCATTTATATTCCCCTCTTTAGTCTGCTATAGACTCATTTGGCAAGTCCCTATAGCCAGCCCAACTCTAGTTTGCTACTTTTCTTTTTCACAAGCTAAACCCCAGTCTCAGCCAATTTGGGGCTTTTAAAGACTTTGCTAATAATATCATAAGATGGTTTCTTAGGGAGGAAAAAAAAACAATTCACTCAGGATTTGGGGGTAAGTTGAGAAGTTTATCATCATTGGGATCAACAGAAATTCCATTTCTTGTAATTTCTTCTATCTTTTCTAATGTTCCAGGGATAATTACAGATTCTATGATATCATAAGATACTGGTTTTGAGTACATGAAGAAATTACATTTTACTCAGTGATAGTTTATTGAAATTGAGAAAGACTTGACTGCCTCCCTCCCTCTCTCCTTCTTTCTTCTTTCTTTCCTCCCTTTTCTCCTCCTTCTTCCTTTCCTTCCCTCCATCCCACCTTCCTTCTCCCTTCCTTCCTTCCTTCCTTCCTTCCTTCCTTCCTTCCTTCCTTCCTTCCTTCCTTCCTTCCTTCCTTCTTTTCTTCCTTCCTTCCCTTCTTTTCTCCATAATTTTTAGTTTGGTGAGAAATTAGTGGTGGGTTTCTGATCTTATTTGAAGAAAAATAATTATTAAAGCAAATATTTGTGAAAATTCTTATACACATACATTTTAAAAAAATTTTATTTTGTCATGGACTAATAAGATTTCTCATGTGTGAATCAAAACTATCATACCAAATCAGGTGGTAAATTATTCATGCTTATGCTATAAAGCACTAATGAGTTACAACCTAATCCCTTGTGATATTTTTAAACTCATCAAAGTTTTTTTGGCTTATGGTAATACAAAATGCAATGGAAATGCACTTTCTCATTTATCATTAGTGAAGGTTGGTAATTACGATTTCATTTTAAGTTGGGCAAATGGGATTTAGAAAAATGCAAAGAAATTTTATAATAATTTCTGCATTATGTCTCTGGCACTAATAGGCAACTCATAATTCCTAAGAAGAATTGCAAGGAATAAATGACTTTTTGCCAATATCTCACTTAAACTATTTTTGAAAAAACTTTTAAGATCTGAGATGATTTTAAGTTTGCATTGTGTATGTGTGTGTGTGTGTGTGTGTGTGTGTGTGTATGTATGTACATATATGTCCATCCTGATGGATAATCCAATTGCATTTTACTGGTGACTAGAGTTACATTACACTCATTGCTACTAGAAAAAATTCACTTGAACTTCTTTAACAAGATATGTTAAAAGAAGGAAGGAATATTCTAGTGGAAAAGCATAAATCACCAGTTGAAAGTCAATTGGCAAATCTTCCTATACACTCAAAAGAGCATGTTTTAATCTCTCACAGAATTGATGAGGAATAAGTTTTTGATAATAAGGAAATATTTTCATTAGGAATATGATACTGAGTTGGGGAGGGTAAGTTATATTTCTTTCAGTAGTTAAGAGGGTTGATGTTTTGAATAAATATGTGGCACACAATTGATGATTTACCCTAAAAATATAGTTATATCACAAGTGAAGTTGAAGAAATTCTCCATTTGCAATCAGGAATTTAAAAAGATTGGTACAGTGGAACAGAATTGAGAGCCCAGAAATAAAACTGTGTTTTGGACAAATAATTTTCGACAAAGGAGCCAAAAAGCATACAATGGAGAAAAGAAATCCTCTTCAATAAATGCTGCTGGGAAATTATTATAGAAAGCCACATGCAAAAGATTAAAACTAGACCACTGTTTGTCCCTATAGACAAAAATTAACTTAAAATGGGTTAAAGACTTAAAAATATGACCTGAAATAAATTACATAGAAGAAAACAAGTACTGAACTTATGGACTTTGGTGTAAGAGAGATTATTATGCATTTGACCTTAAAGGCAAGGGAAGTAAAGACAAAAATAAATGAATGAGACTATTTCAAACTTAAACAGCTTCTACACAGCCAAGAAACCACCAACAAAATGAAAAGGCAACCAACAGCATGGGAGAAGATATTTGCAAAGAACAGTTCTGATAAAGGGTTAATATCCAAAATATATAAGGAACTCCTACAACTCAATACCAAACAAGCAAACCAAAATTAAAAAAATGGGAACCTGAATAGACACTTCTCTCAAGAAGACATATAGATGGTCAACAGATACATGAAAAGATTCTCAACTTCACTAGCTATTAAATAAATGCAAATAAAAACTAGGAGATACCACATCACACCTGTTAGAATGGCTGTTATCAACAAGATAAGTAATGACAAGTGTTGGAGAGGTTATGGAGGAAAAGAAACCCTCATTCACTGCTGGTGGAATGTAGACTGGTACAGCCCCCATGGAAAACAGTATGGAGGTTTCTCAGAAATTTAGAAGAGTTTCCATATGACCCAGCAATCTCTCCTAGGTACGTAACCAAAAAACTTGAAAACATGTATTTGCAAATATATATGTACCCCTATGTTCATTATAGCATTATTCATGTTGGCCAGTACCTTGAAATAACCGGAATTTCCTTCAATAAATGATTCAATAAAGAAGATGTGGTACATATATACAATGGAATACTACTCAGACATAAGAAAAGATGAAATATTGCCACTTGTGACAATATAGATAGATCTTGAGAATATCATGCTAAGCAAATAAGTCAGACAGAAAAAGCTAAGAACTGTATGATTTCACTCATATGTGGGATATAAAACTGAAAGCAACAAGTGAACAAACAAGAAAAACAAATAAAAACTGATAGACATAGCAGTATGGTTAACAGAAGGAAGGAGGGTGGGGAGATAGTAGAAAGTAAAGAGGTTCAAACATATGATGGAATGAGATTTGACTTTGGGTGGTGGGCTTAAAATGCACTCTACAGATTATATGTCATAGAATTGTACACTTGAAACCTATATAATTTTAGTAACCACCTCACCCATAAATTCAATTTATAAATCAGTAAATAAGCTCTAGCTGGTTTGACTCAGCAGACGGAGCATCGGCCTGTAGACTGAAGGGTCCTGGGTTTGGTTCTGGTCTAGGGCACATGCCCGGTTTTGTAGGTTCAATCCCCAGTAAAGGGCATACAAAAGGCAGCCGATCAATAATTCTCTCTCATCATTGATGTTTCTATCTCTCTCTCCCTCTCCCTTCCTCTCTGAAATCAATAAAAATATATTTAAAAATAAAAATAAATCAATTAGTAAATAAAATTTAAAAAGAATATTACCTAAAAACAGAGAACCTGTAATATTTCATTTTCTTATTTGATTCAGACAATATTTGGGTAACAAAATATTCATTGACTTCTCAGCAACAAACAAATAATTCCTCCTAACTTGTAAGCTTTTCCTGCTTTCTTTTCTACCCATAACTTGCCCTCATAAGTCACAGAGATCTTGAATACTGTATGTATTTTTATAGAATCACAGCTTGAAACTACAAGCCAAAGTTACGGTTGCAGCTTTTTTGATTGTTCATATTGGTAGAATGTGGTTGCTGAGTAGATTTAGTTAAAATTATTACATATTAAGTAATTTAATGGGATGGAAGCAATTTAAAAATTGTTCTGGTTATAGTTTATTGTATTATCTTGAGAAGTCCCCATGGATACATTCCCAGATATCTGCCTTGGTTCATGTATGCTTTGTTTGAGTGATTCTGGTGTGATTTACCTATAAACCTGGTGCCTTCAAATTGGCTGCATTCAGAATTGCACAACCTAATTATTTGTAGGTTACAGTATGTAGAAAGGTAAGGTACAGACCTCTGCTAATTGTGACATTGGTATAAGGCTGGATCTATACCCTTGAATGTTAGTCCGGGGTCAGGGATCTTAGGATTGAAACAGTGGACACCACAGATAAAAAGCAGATGATGTCACAGAAAGAATTTGGCTCCTGGGTTCTGGAGAAATTCTGTTACAGTGACAGCAGGCCCATTTGCCGTCCGTCAACTGTGAAGGATTCTGGGATGAGGGAAAGGTTTGTTAATGAGAATGCCAAGGAAAGATTGCAGAAAAGGGATATAAAATCGTTCTTTCTGGCAAGTTTTTTTTCAGTGTAGGAGACCTCAGGTAGCTATGTCAGCAGGTCACTTCCCTTTCTGTTGCCCATTCCGTGGGTTTTGGTTTTCTGTTTGGGACCAGTCCCCCAACTGAAGGGACACCAATTAAATGAGCCTAACCTGAAAGAAGACTGAGGAGATTTGGGGTGAATTAGTCCCATCTGTGCTGATAACTAGTTATGCTCCTTAGGGCAAATACTTTAAAATATTCATTTACTGAGCACTTCCTGTGCCTGCATCATTTCAAGTGCTCACTGTTGAGGATTTGTTTTTAAGCACTATTTTTTTTAAAATTCTTCTTTTTGAGTGATAGGCCCATTTGGGCTCCCAGACTCCTTATCTCTACAACTCTGACTTTCTTACAGCATGCCCTCCACAGCTTCTGAGGAGGATCCCTAAGAAAACCTCTTATTCTATCGTTAGTGAGGTGAATAATTATTAAACAACTGTGATTCTATTCCTCCTACGTGCCTATCAAAATTAATTCAGACCCCTGTTTTTAGTAGCTTTCATATTTGCATTTCATTCTTTTATAATGAGACATTATTTTTGAAAATAATAGTAACAACGTTCCTATTTAACTCCTGTAGTGAGAATTTAGGCACTTATATATATATAACTGCTCTGAAGTTTTTTGTTAAGACATTTTATAAGTTGAAGCTACTATATATTTTTTGTTTCTTAAGAATCTTGAGATTAGGATAAATGAGTTCATTCTCCTCTTTGAACCTAATGCCTCTTTTTCTTTTAAATAAAAGATTTTAGTATAAATTTAGATCATAGCTAATAAACACTTTTGGGGGGAGGATGACATTCTTCTTCTAAGATTTATTTTATTTTTCCACTTATATGGTTAATTCTGAGTAATCAGAAGTGCAGGCCACCATGTTGATTTTTAATATCAGTTTTTAAATTAGTAATTTATTAAAAAGATCCAGTTTTCTAGCTTTTAAAGTCACTCACATTTCTTAAAGTTAATATGTGTTTACCATTCATGAAGATCCTTTTCCACTATGTGTTTCCTGGTGGCAGTTACCTTGGGTCAGCGGTCTGACAGCCTTTCATATGTACACAGTTGTGAATAAACATGTTATGATCAGTGTCTTAAAAGTTTTAAATTACATTTCTAGATTAATTAGCTTACCAATATTAGAGCTATCTTCTAAGTTCATAAAATTGGCAATTAGTTCTCATATATTTGGAGAAAACTCTAGAAACCCTTTCTACCTCACTGTACTCTCTGACACATTACACTGCTAATTAGAGCTTCAAATTTTCAGAATGACCATCAACATTCTGTACTATGATATTTTAGACTAAAAATAGATCCTTTGTAAGCATTCTGACTTTCAAAATTAAAATATTTAAATGGGTTGAATTTATTCTAAATTTCTTAGAATTTAGATTTAATTTTACTCAGAATATCTATAACCTAGACTTTTGCCAGATCTGTCTATATTTCTGCTTGAGTCTGTAGCCAGTTTTCAAAATTATTGATATTTAGAGAGATAGGAAGGGAGAGGGAGATATTTAGAGAGAGAGGAAGGGAGAGGGAGAGAAACACTTCCAAGAGAATGAAACGTTGATTAGCTGCCTCCTTTACGCATCAAACCTGAACCCTGCGACCCCTCAGTGCACAGAAGGAAGCCCAAACAACTGAGCCACGCCCCAGTCCCTGCGCCAATCTTGAAGAGTAATCTTAGCCACATACTGACGCCTGCTTCTAAGAGAATCCATCCAATAACCCTCAGGTGATTATGATTTCTGTTCTCTATAATGAGAATTAGCTGCTGCATTTGCCTCCCGGGACAGTTTCTGTGTTTTTCAAATGCCTTGCGATAATTACTAATGCTTTGTAAATGCACACTGAAATTTTGCCTCTTTAAATTCCTTTCCTTTTTAGTATTTTTCTATTTCAATTTTAAGGAGGAAAAAAATATAATGGTTAAATCCCTCTCATTGAGAATGAGATTTGGGCCCTGACCGGTTTGACCCAGTGGATGGAGTGTTGACCTGCAGACTGGATGGTCCCAGGTTCGATTCCAGACAAGAGCATGTACCTTGGTTGCAGGCACATCCCCAGTAGGGGGTGCGCAAGGAGCAGCTGAATCGATGTTTCTAACTCTCTATTCCTCTCCCTCTCCCTTCCTCTCTGTAAAAAATCAATAAAATATATTTTTCATAAAGAATGAGATTTGGGAAGCACAAGAGTCAGAAAATTCCCAGGTTCCCCTAGTAGTCACTGCCTCGTCCCCATTTGCAGAGAACTTGTAGACTCTGAGAGTGGCTCTCGGGGCCACTGCAGCCCGGGCGCCACCCATAAGGGTGACTCACAATTTTGCCTGCCATCCAATCTTATACCCACGTCTTCTCCTTTAGAGATCATGATTTAATTTAAATCACCATGGGAGGGAGAGAAGGGGGAGAAACTGGGAAATATATATAATATCAACAAAAAACATATTTTAAAACATTTATATCACCATGGACTATACCCACTTTAGTGTCAATTAACCCAGAATCTGTGGCATCATAAAATCACTTCCAGGATAAAAAGAATGGTCGTTGCTGCCCACCTGCCTGTGAGTGTACTGCTGAATAAGTGCCCGGAAAACTGCAAAAGCGAACCGAATTCTCTGACAGAGTTGCTGGGGAGCAGACCATACATTTTCCAAGGGATTTGGGGAAGTTATTGAAATACATACTGGAGATAGGATGTTTTGCTTTTAACGTGGAAGTACCACTTTTGTGAAAATCACATTTTAGTTCCTAGATGCCGTTTTTCTTATGTCTTCTTTGCTCTGATTTCACTGGTTAAACACAACATTGCAATAGAGAAATTTTATTGCAATAGAAAATTTATTTTAGATATTTCCCCATCTGTTAATCTTTGTCTAGTATCTCTCGCCCAGTGAAATCCAATATATGTGTTGATGTTTTAATTGTTGGGAAAATAACAGTGACAACTTGATTTTTCCAAATCTACTGAGAAAAGACAATCTGAATAGATATAACATGATTATTATCATAAAAACAATCTTTTGTTAAGTATTTCTACCTTCAAAAATTAAAATAAGATGAGAATGTCCTTAATCTTATTCACCCACTTGACATTGTGATATTCCTCCTTACCTGAGGGCATCAAGATAACATCAGAGGATACAATTAAGACAGATAACTCTACTTTAAAATCATCTTTTAATTGCTCTGTGATTTACATATGTTTAGAATGAGGCTAAAACAAAGGGCAATATTATCAAAATATGTTATACTGTGTGTATATATATATATATATATACACACACACACACACACACACACACACACACACACACACAGATATATACTTTAAAACGCTTTGCCTATTGCATTTATCAAATATATCACAGATATTTTCAATCCTTGTTTAACTTGGACACAAAACTACAACTTTTTTAATACTGACATGAATTATAATCACTATAAATTTTAAGCTATTGTCATTTCTGGTTCAGGAATTCAGTGCATCATAAAACTGTTTTGTTTTTTTCCTGATAGTAATAGACATCCAGCTGTCAATTCAAGTAAAATGAGCTTCTTCTTTTTACATTTAATTGATAAGAGCTCTGCCTTCTTATATGGTGACTGTAAAGTAGAAAAACTTTACAGTCACCATATAGAGATCTGTTCCTGCCCCCACACCTGTTTAGTGGTGAAGAAATTTACATAATAACCCTATGTGGGAATGTATTTTATTCTAACCTTATATTTAAGAAGTCTTCTCAAGATTGTTTGTTTCTGTGTAGTTGTAAAAACAAGAAATTTAATATGCTTTTTGACACATGTAGGGATATAATTAGAGCTAACATTCCTCAGAACTTGCCAGTAATCCTAAAAGGAGCCCAGCAGTGTGGCTTGGTGATTGAGCATGGACCTGTGAACCAGGAAGTCATGGTTTGATTCCCGGTTAGGGCACATCCCAGTGTAGGTTGTGTAGGAGGCAGCCAATCAAGGATTCTCTCTCATTATTGATGTTTCTGTCTCTCTCTCCCTCTCTGAAATCAATAAAAATATGTTTTAAAAAATAAACATAAATAAAAATAATAATAATCCTAAAAGGAAATGAGTTAGGTACATGTGTTACCTTTCATAGAGAAAAACTTATATTCATTCTTCATAAACCAGGCTTAAGAAAAATGCACTAAGAGAACTATGAGGAAAGGTGAAGATTAAACCTTAAAGTTTATTTTTTTTGTTTGTTAGTAAGATTAAGGCCTAAATGTCCCAAGTGAAAAACTGTTATTTTTATCCTATTAATTAGTACATGATGCCACTTGAATATTAAAACTGTTTACTGCCAGAATGATACGTAGATTACATAACTGTCTATTCCTCAATAGTGTGATTGCTGGTGAAGGATTTCTTTGTCTTTTTGCATAAAAAGGACATGCTACTTTTGGTATGCTACTTTTGGTGTGCTACTTTTCTTTTGGAATAAAGTTTTAAAATCTTTGATGGTGGAACAAGTTTTACCTGCTTGAAATAAGAGGTTTCTCTTGCCATTTGCTAATAACCAAAAATGTATGCTTTCCAGCTGTTCTTCTGTGTATTTTTAATTGTATGCACTATCTCTTTCTGTTCTAATGGCTGCCCTCGGAATAGGCTGACCTCTGCTCTCCGTATGACATCCTGCAGTTGGATTTTCGTCACATTCGAAAGACTGTTGACATTCTGCTGGCACTCGGGGAGAAACCCCCACAACCAACTTCTGCCCTCCGCTCCAGGGACCTTATAAGCTTCTGTCTTGTCCATATTCTCTTTATAGTGCTAATCTATATCACTTACCGCTGGAATGCCCTGTCCGCATAAAGTCTGCATGTGCATCCAAGCGCTCTGCTCTGTCCCTGAGCCATTAGGGTCCTTCCTCCATCTGACCCTTTGCCTTGCAAACTTCCCTGTTATCTCTTCAGTAGTCTCTTGAGTTTTGAAGCTGAACTTTTGCCAATCAGATTTTCCAAAAGCACAAACTTATAGAATGCGGTTCTCTTTAAGTAACTTCTCACTTACTGAAAAACAGTGAGAACAAAGTATATTCACACCTCATGCTTCCTCAGCCACAGCCCACATCATGCCAGCAGGAGTGCTATACAGATCCTCTTCCCTCTTCCCAGTGAGCTTCACTGTTTTAGGTAGAGTAGAATTTCCAGAACAGGAGCAAAAGGGAATATGAAAATCTTTCCTTTGCAGTATTTAAGTTCAACCCAATTCAGGACTGGGCAATTGAGTTGTAGGGGTTCCCCACTCTCCTTGCAAAGGAGACAGAAAAACAGCATTTTTGGCCCAATTTGGTCTATAAAACTCTTCAGTAAAAACAAAAACAAAAGAACTATTGACCAAATTGAAAAATCCCATCTGGGCAATGACTACTTTGCTGGTCATTTAGTTGGGTTCCTTGCTGCTTCCTACTATGGGAGCTGTGAGGGGCACCAGGGAGGGTTGCCGCCCACTTCTACCCTGAGCCAGCCCTCTTGGCCTGCTGCATGAGGCAGCGGCACTAGGGAAGGAAGGCCCATCGGTGTTAAGAGCACTACCTGGGAGATTTGCTTGCACACCAATTCCCATATATTTTTACTTCTCCTTGTTAGCCTCTAGAGGAGAGATTTCTATTTTTAAATAATGTAATGGGTCATTTTGGCTTTTGCTACATCACATTCTAACAGTAGATCCAGAATGTGATAAATTTGACTATTTGTTTTTAAATAAAGCCATGAGTCATGGAACATTCTTGGTCCTGGAGCCTGGTTTCTGTGGCAGGAGCTAATAATAATATTGCTCTTATTTTAGAAGAATGTAATTTATCTAAATAAGTTGAAATTTCCATTTAACCATTGTTAGCATAATGTTTTTATTTTTAAGTAAGCTTAAAGGATTATATACTAACTATATCTGCTTTGGAGCAAGGTGGTCAGTTTGTATTGAAAAGACAAAAACAATATAATTTAATCTAGGCCAAGATATTTCTGGTTCTGGGTTGTCTTTTTCTAATATGAGAAAGCCCTGCTCTAAGGTTAAGACAATATCTCCTACTTTCCTTTTAATCTGGTTGCCAAATATTGTTTATTAAGTTGGGGAACTGATGGAGTTAACTTCCTCAAGATACTAGTAAATTTCTAGTTTAATGCGATGCAAGTGATCTTTATAGACAGCTATTAAAATGATAATTGTATTTTTATGAACATTTCCATGAATCTGGGCTACTTGAGGATGTAGATAACCCATATAGTTAGACAAGTATATTTATAAAGATTCTTCGTTGCTAAGCAGCTCAGATTTTCTAACAGGAGATGACGTGATAATATCTTGAGTTAACTGAACCTTTTCCTTCTGAGTTTGTGTTGATTGGTGAAATACAGGGTATGTGAAGTTACCGAATTAACCTCAGTTATGTATAAATAACCTGCAGATGTACTGAATTGTCTTTGGTGCTAACTTGTACTCTTCAATCTGTAACAATAAAATCCCTTTATTCAATGTCTAACCAGCACCCTGATCCATAAGTTCTTAATAAACACATTTTGGGTGATTATTCCAAGTTTTTATCAGCTCATCAATACATTTTTAGTGCATACCCAGAGTAGTGATCACCATTTCCATCTAGCTCTGCAGTGCATTGAGGCTTCCGTGATGAAAGAAGCTCGGGGGTATACTAGAACAGTGTGCTGCCATATTCGCAAGGAAAGCCATTCGGCTCCTCTAACATTAAAGTTTAAATGTCTTCTGTTTGTTTCTCATTCCCAAAAGGCTCGGGACACCAGGAAGGTGAGAAATGCTGGTTTAAGAAATAAAGGCCCAGGAGAGACAATAGCCTTAAGTTATTCAGTCTGTTATGTCTCCATGACCATCAGCTTGGAACCTCTTCAGCCACAGGAGCCACTGCTCATCAAGGGGACTGGGACATTTGTTAATGGAGACCCGTTCCATCTCAAGCTGGATGCAGGCTAGGACATCTACCCTGTAAGAGCCACGTACTTAGAGATTAGGCCCTGTGGAGATAACACTAGAGTTCAGGAACATTCAGAACTAAATGTAAGAAAACACTGAGGTTGAGAAGCAAAATGTCTTGTTCAAAATGCCTTGGGCATAACTTTCATTTTTAAATTTCTATTTGTGTTCCTTGCCCAATGTTCCATTGGTTTCTTAATGCTTTTCTTACTGATTTAATGCGTTTGAGTCATATAAAACACTTGTAATTTGATGTAAATACTTTTTTATAGTTTTTTAAATCTTTTAAATAATGTAGGAGTTTTGACACATGCACGCTTTAAACTTTTAAGCAAGAATATTTTTTTAATATTTCTTGTGATTTTTTTATTTTGCCTTTTTAGCTTAGACAATAAGAGAAAGTACTATATATTAACCTATATCTTATTAGGAGAGATTTTTAAAAACAGACAACTATTTAATTCATTTCAATTTGACTTTAACATAAGTTGTAAAGTGAAGATTTTAATTTTCCCCCCAACTAATGCCCTGCACTAGGAGCTTAACCATGTTAGTGGTCATGACTCACCAAACCAGGTGTTGGCTTGAGTGCTGTGAGAGCCATAAGAATGAGAAAACCACATCCCTGCCCCAGTGGTACCACCCTTAGCAATTAAATGCCAGATTTGAGTGACTTCACACGCCTATGGCATCAGGAAAGGGTACAGACTGACCTCCAGCTATGGCACAAGGAGGACGCAAACTGCCCATCCTGGCCCAGTGCACAGCTCAACTCCCATAGGACCTCCCACCCTTTTTCTTGGTTGACATTCAGCTACTAAGTTGGCAAGGAGCATAAATTTGCATGCCCACCTTATATGCCCATTGGCGACAAGATAATTGTATTTCAATGCATAGCAAACAGATGAAATAATGGTTGAATCATGCTTTCAGTAATTTCTTATGTTGACATGTGCTACTTCTTAGGTCTAGATTTAGTCTCAGAGATACTCTGAATTTACCTCTTTAGGGAAGAAATTAAAGGTGGGAGTAGGAAGATGATTGAGACAGTGTAGGAAAACTGACATTTTGAAGCAGTGCAACAAGTTATTGGATGTGTCATGGTGTATTGTTTGAATGTCTTTTTGAGACCAGAAGGCCTGTATCTGTACTAATTTGTGGAGAGTCCTACCATTGAGGCAACAGGAAGAACTAGTTCCTCAAGCAAGAGTCACATGAAAAGGAAGCAGTCTGTCCAGAGACCCTGATTTGTTCCTGTTGAACACTGTCTCCATTCAAACTTCCCTTGAAAACAGCCGTCACTGAGCTGTGAAGAAATGACCATTATGGAGTAGAAAAGAGGCAGTGTTCGCTGTGGAGTCTTTTCTGAGTCAAGGAGACACGCTCTGGAAAGTGATCCCCTCATCTCCAGAGCCAAATGACAATGGCATAAAGTTACTTCATCATGTTATTTTATGAACTATTTTGCATGCAAGGTTCTACATACCAGGAGTGACTCGTGTTGCTTTCCTTGAGTTGTGTGTGCTGGACATTTCCTAAGAGCAAAATTACAACAAGAAAGTAGCAGGATGTTTGTGTCTTTGACAGCAGTATGAAAGAGAAAGAGAAGCTATTAAAATTAATTATAAGACTGTTCATAAACCAGGAAGAAAAGATACCTATCCACCAGCATGCCTCCATTCCAGAGGTCGTAGGAAATAAAATAAATTGGACCAAAGTTCATGGTCAATAGAACAGTGTGTGATCTGTATAAATGAGTATTTGAGTTCCTTTAAAAATGTGTGAAAGGGCCCTGGCCAGTTTGGCTCAGTGGATGGAGTGTGGACCTTTGGACTAGGGGGTCCTGGGTTCTATTCCAGTCAAGATCATATGCCTGGGTTGCGGGCTCAGTCCCCAGTGTGGAAGGGGGCGCGTGGGAGGCAGCCTATCAATGATTCTCATCATTGATGCTTCTATCTCTCTCCCTCTCCTTCCTCTCTGAAGTCAATAAAGAAATATATATTTTTTGAAATGTGTGAAAGGCTATTTACAACTTTGCTTTATAAGAATATAAGCTGCTCTAGCCAGTTTGGCTCAGTGGCTAGAGCATCAGTTTGCAGACTGAAGGGTTCCAGGCTCAATTCTGGTGGGGGGCACATGCCTGAGTTGCAGGCTTGATCCCAAGTGTGGGATGTTCAGGAGGCAGCTAATTAATGATTCTCTCTCATCATTGATGTTTCTATCTCTCTCCTCCCTTCCTCTCTGGGGAAAAAAAAAAAGGAATCATAAAGAATGTTTTTAAAAAATAATAATATAAGCTAATATGCCCCTAATGTGTGGTTTCCAGCTGACTGTGTATGGCTGTTATTCAGTATAAAGTTTTGTTAAATGGTTAGATCTATTGCAGATTTCAGGATGATTGGACACTTTTTTTGGATCAACCCTTATTTGTGTAAAGTCATTATTTTCTCTGCAAATACAGTAAAGTGCTATGTAATGGGCTGGAAACAAGAAAAGAAACATGGTCTGAACTCAACTGCCATCAGTGCTGTTGTAAGATTTTATAATCAAGTACCAGTCATTAAAAATTGATGTTTGTTCTTTCTTTTAGGAAAAACTATGTCTACCCCATCACATCCTTGAAGAGAAAGGCCTGGTCAAAGTGGGCATTACTGTTCAAGCATTGCTAGATGTACCTATAATGAAGGCTGTATTCACATGAAACCAACTCCTTTCCTTTGGGTCGGCCCAAACCCTTCTCCCATCAGAGATCCTGAACTCTGCTCTTGGCACCAGTTCCCCCATCCTCCCACCCATTGCCTGTGTTCATGAGTCTAGTTGCATTTTAGGGAGGACCTCAGAGAAGATTTCCTGCCTTTCAGAACTGACCTCCGACATTAAGGTGTGACAGGTATTTATCTTGAAGCCAGTGAGGGAGCTGGTTACGAAGAGCTAACAGCACGTCGAGGCCTTTTCAACCTCCCACACGCCTTCCATGCTCACCCACTGCCATTACCAAACACCAAGCACAACTGCTTTGCAGCAACATGTACTTATTTCACTGAAGCCAAACTCATTGTGTATTTAGTGGGGGGATGAGGGAGGGACTCAATCAAGTTTTTATCACCAAATTTTTCAAGAGATTTCTTGAGACCATTGCCTTTTAAAAATCTATTTTCGACATACAAAATATTTATATAAATATTATTTATTAGTGAGTTGTTATTCATCCTTTGGGTGCAAATTGTAAATTAGGAAACTATTTTATTACTGCTTTTTTGTGGTTAAACACTTTTTAAATTATAAATATTGAGTTATTTTCTATCCTCTTTGGTGTGCATTGTCTAGGTCTCAATAATCATGTTTTCTGGTATATATGACTCAGAAAAATAACAGGTGCTTCTGTGACAAGAACTGTTTTCTGGGGAGGCATTACTTACACTTTGGTCTTGTTTATATTTCTGCATTCCATCCAGTTTCCTACATTCCAGCAGCCCTGTTGTCCCCTGATACAATAAACTGACTGAAATTAAGAGAGCGCCCCAAAGTTATTTGTAAATAGCTGTGATGAGAAAAAAGACATTAAACTTGAAGATAAAATGTGAACAGTTATTTTTTGGATTCATACTTATTTTGCTATATACAGAACATTCACATTTTAACACAAAGAAGTAATGTGTTAGCATCATGTATCTTGAAGTATAATTTTGCACTGTAACTTGAGAATTAAAGAAGTCTAGTACCAAAGGAAATAAGGAAATGGTATAGGAAAGTGAAGATGATACTAAGTTTATTGTTTAACCAAAAAGCTTCTTAAAGGGCAGCTTCAACTGAGAGTGATCAAGAGTTACATCAGACATATAAGACCTGAATCGGGAAACCAACACTGCCAGTTTTCAAAGAGGAAAAGATTTTGAGATGTGGACATGCTCATTTTATTGTAATTTAGTTAGTGGATTTCAGAGTAACCCATAAAACACTGCAAGATTCATGGTCTTTGGGGTGAAACTGTAAAAGTAAGTCAGTAAGTTGGTGAGTTAGCTGCATGCAAAGATGGGTGGGGGTGCAAGGGGTTAGGAGAGGGCTAGGGGAAGGTTGCCTTTGTGAGGCTGAATTGCCTAGCAGGGAGCGTTTCAAAGGAAACATGACTAAACGAGAGCCAGTACCCATGTTGGTTTGCGGGATTCAGACAAGACCTCCCAGACACGACAGCCTGTTGGTAGGCAGTTACGTGATGAGCCTCCACCCTGCTGTCCCGGATATTCCATTCAGTCACCTTCCTCCGTCTTGTGAATGCTCATTGCCTCTTCACCTCCGTGGAAAGCCATTGTAAGTTTTTAGAGCAGCAGCAGCCACAATTTGTAAGAGAAATAAAAGGTGAACACAATAGAAAACATACCAAGAAGATGATGTGCATTTAGCACAATCTAACATCAGCCAAGGCCTTGGCTGCTCTCTGCTCTGGGCAAGGTGAGGGGTTATAACATGACAGTTTGCATTGGCAGCTTTCAGTTCTTTCCTATTAAATGTACTGTGCACTTTAACCTAACTTAA